TTGGAAGGTAGTAAGAGTTTGATAGTAATTTTACAGATATAAAGTTTCAAAATAGAAACATTTCAAGGTCACTAAACTATTCCACTTTAAGACTGTCTACAGATAAAATCTAGTAATAACAAACAATTCAGAAAACTTCATTATTATAAATCAGTTGGACACAATGAAATCGAGCATATTCATCCACAAACACACCTGAGCAATTCATTCGATAAAAACCATGTGGAACATTTTCACATTTTATCGTTTCCAACACGTGAAGTGTTCAGCACACAGCAAGATGTTCTTTAAAGAAAATCGAAATTAAATTGCAAATTTTCTGAATTTTTTATTATTCTTCTACTGTATAAACTTTATCGTCATGGAGAAAAGATCTTGGAAAGATAAATGTCAAATTTTTCTCGAAGGCATAAACAATTTTTCTGCATGTTTTCGGTAAATTTTAAGCTTTAATTGATTTTATTCTTTTTCTTACTTGGCATTTTGTGTTGAGACAAAACATGATTTGCTTTGGGCACGAAATGCAAATGGATGTTGGAGGAATTGAATAAAGGAAAATTGAATTTGTAATAATTTTGGAAGACAATGTTTTTCAGATGCTAAAATTATGCTTGATATTTGTGATTTGAGGGGGATGATGTCTGCGATATGGGATATTTTGAATGGAAATATTGACTTAGGTTGAGAAAGATTTGTTAGCAATTAATTTGTTATGTAGAATCATTATTTTATTCACCCACTTTAAAATTTATTATACGTTTATTCTACAATACAAATCATAAAATTTTTATTCAGGAAGTATCATTAATACAAATCGAGCATTCAAAACCGCAAAACGATAAATATTCCATTTGTATAATTTGCGGAACCTTTTAATAATACAAACTATATAAAGCTGATATCAAATTATCTTATAATCAAATGAAATCTAATACTATCAATTTTACACTCCCACATCGTTGCCATAAGCTCCCGCTTTTCAATCAATGATAGATTATATCTTCAACAATGCTACGCATAAATACAAACGTGAACAACATATCGAAATTAATCTGAATTATGATGTATAGTTTATAAGTGGGAGTTATAATATTTTAATCATCACCATGAATGATTTGAAATACTGATCCTAATTGGATTGTCTTTGTGGCCAATATTAAATTTATTCAAATGTTCCATACGAAGCTTCATGTTGCTCCACAGTCGGACACTTAAAGAACAAATGGCAAAATTTGTGAAAATTCGATTAAAAACTCTTCTTTGAAACTTTCTTAACCTAATAATGAACAACTAGACTGTGAAGAAAAATAATTTCAAAAAACTTTTATTCTACCCGCACAGAAACAAGCATCTCATTCATTAAAATAATAACAAGCAATTATCACAATAATAATAACGATTCAACAAAATTCTTTTAATGTTAATCAAAGCTAATTATTATTAGTGACAATTATCTACACCCATTATAATTACTAATTCCATCTAACAATGTTAGAATTGTGCTAAAAACTTATAATTAAATCCCAATACTTTTATATAAAAAATAACAATCGCAAGCATATGTCTCATTAATACACTGATTGCCACACAAAATTACTGCAGTATCATCACTAAAATATCATATTACGGCTCTATTATTAGAATTCACAAACATTAAGTCAATCACATTTTATATGCACAAAAATTTTTCTCATTCCGCTCACGTGTAGCATTCTCATTTTTGTCGATACTTTTGACCTAAAAAGATCTTCTTCATTACTCAGTTTTGTGATGATACAAAAAATGAGAGAAGTTTATTCGATATTTGATTAAAATATGAGTGAAGTGATGACGATGTAGATGAAAAGAAAGGTTCAAGTGTTAATTTATTTAACATTAATCATATCATTATTGTAAAGATCAATAGAATGCGTTGCAGATGCATTTGGAAAGAATTTCTTTGTAATTGAGTAAATTTGAAGCTGTGTTAAGGGTAAAATAACTAGAATAATGGTTCAAAAAACCAGATTAATTCCCAATCCTTCACCTAAATTATTTTCCATCTTACTCACAAGATTTAAAAGCTCCCGGTAATATTTACAATTTACAGTGATGATGTCGCAATTATTTTACAACATTGTCAGAAATGTTCACGTACATATATCAATACACAGTGTGTATGTTTGTTTTATACTTTCGGATATGAGGCGTGAAAAATTGCTCCTCTGTGAAAATTTCAATTAAACACGTTGTCACAAACATTGCCACTAATTGCTTAATTACATATATAAATGTATGAGTCTCATTTTTATAAATTGTATGTGTTATTAAATCTTTCAATGGGATTTCCTGGTCATGTCCCTTCTTTTTGTATGCTCAAATGACTTTAGGCGTGCTTTATTTGTTGACACCTTTTATAATTGCTTAATTGAAGTGATTATGGGAATTTTTATCAGACATTGTTGCCAGGAATGACAAGCTTTTAATAAAAAATTTCCTTCGTAACTTAATCATGTCATTAAATGTCCTTCGAGAATGTTAATGTTACATCTGTATCTGTACTTTTGATATAAATTGTAACCAACATACTGTTAACAAGGACAAGTAATTAGAAAGTACGCAATGGTAAGCAATTTATTACTAAGAATTAAATTTCTCTACAGAATTGTATGTCATTCTAGCCAAATGGGTGGAACATGTGGTATGTGTCGATTTCTAAACGATTTGTTCTTTATGTCAAACTTATGCTGTTAATTTACGTGTAGAATTACATTACCTATCAATTGATTTTTATTAAGGTTTTTATGGCATAAAACTGAAGTTTGAAGTACATACTGGTTGTACTTGAGAAATGAAAATGCTAAAGGATTAGGTACAGACATTTTAAAAAATCACAAATATGATTAATTCTTCAATTGTCTTTAAAAATGCTTTGACCCACAAAAATTTATTTTAAAGTAACATAATTTTTACAGGAAATGCTTTCGAAAATTCAATTTTGGAAATCTTTTAAGGAAGTTTAGAGGATGAACAGAATGTTTGGGCGTACGTAGGTTGTATTGTATTTTTAAAAACGTTTATTCGTTTTATCTCCACCTTTAGTGCTAATAATGAATCTGATGAGAAAATTTGTTCAGAATATGGAACAACGGATATGGAATATTTAATGAATAACTTTTTATGAATAGAAACTTTTATTTTTAGAATGAATTTTAGTGCATTAGGATCTTCGGAGATGCTAAAGTTAAGCGAATAGTTTGCTTAAACTCCTTAAAATCTTCAATCTTTGAAAACAATTCAAAATTCATCATAATACCAGCAATAATACTTTACATGCAAAAGAATCTCATGGATATAACAAAGAGAATGCAATGAAAATATTTTTATTGTAAACACTAGAACTGCCATTTCCTCTTGCTTGAAAAAAATGCAAATTTATGTACTTGTTGTTTCTACTTTAGCACAGACGATAAAAAAAGACTTCTTCTTTTCAGCAATTTTTCTATCATGTTCTTTCGCGTTAGTCGTTCATAGGCACTTAATCGAACATAGATATAAAGAATGGATGAATGCAAAGGTTTGTTATTGTTTTTAAACAGAGTTGAGCCACATTAATTCCTTAAATACAACCAGAACTTGACTGCTCGACTTTATTTAAGACTTCTAGGTTAGAGTAAAACTGTGTCTTTAGTTTTGTGAACCCAAGTGATCTTTATATAAAATCACAGCTTATATTGTAGTTGAGTATGTAGACTAAAACTCCTAGAATTCTAACTCTGTAATTCCACTCTCATAAAGGTGTCTGTGTGTGAGGTCAGTGTTTGTCTATGAGTGAGTTGAGTTAAATCTTCTTTAAATGCATTAACAGACAATAGAAGAAGAAAACAAAGGTTTTTTTTGAAACAAAAGAATTTTTAAATTAAACTTTAAAAGTTTCTTTGAAAATATTGAAGTGATAATTAACGAATCAACTTAAATTCAGCAGTGGGAAATATTTATTGATCTAAAATTTGGACTTGACAAAATATTCTTTATCTTCAAGTCCTAAATAGCAATCTCATTATTTCATTCATCCTAAACCACTCAATTTACAAACACATTTCAAGCTTTTACTTAATTTTTAAATTAAACTTTTCAAGAGGACTTCAAATTATCAAAGAAATAAAAATAAATTGCTTCCAACAATCTAGAAATTAAAATTTTCCTTTAATAACTGTTGCAGCCATTTCTCTACCATTTTGCAATTCAAGCAGCTTGCCATAAAGGAAAAACTTTTCCTTCCTATAACCACCCTCAGATAATTATTCATTTACATAGGAACGTAAAGCATGAAAAGGGAAAATGAAAAGTTTTTTTATTGCATTTCATTATATTATACATGTAATGCCCTTGAAGCACTAAACCCATTTTCTGCACGATGTTTACGGTAAGAATGTAAAAGAAAATTGTCCTATTGTGTAGAAGAGAATGGAATTGAGGTAGAAAAATGTTCCGGTAGATATTGAGTAATTAGAAACGACTATTAAGAAGAATTAGACTAAACAAAAGTGGAGCAGATTTAATTTGAACGATTGTTTTGAGAAAATTTGGTAATTCGCTGCTTGAACTAATTTTTGGACATAAGAAGTTTGAGTTTTGCAGACTTTTTGGTAATAATTTTCATTAATTAAAGCAAATTTTCAAGTTTCTGACTAGATCTTGCACCTGACACTATTCTTCAATTACTAGCCTCATCTAAAGGAGCCCCGATTTGGCCCAATCTAAATAAGTCAAATTCATCATAAAATGAATACGAAATAAACCTGTGAAGTAATCTTGCATTAAATTTCAGCACTTAATTAAAATGTAAAACTATTCTTCATTGTTGTCGCTGACGGAGCTTTTTTCCGAAAAGCACATTGTATGAATTGATTAATTAATCAAATTGAGTGACTGGCTGATAGAGTAATTGTGCCAATGTCATTATGTTCAGACATGACCTTTTTGTCGATGAAAAAAAGATAATAAAAAAGTTGTTCTACTCACTCAATTTCGTTGTTCTCAAATTCCAATTCACCGCGCATTGATTCATAATCCTTGCCAGATTTTGCAGTGCCGTCTTCCGTCCAGTACGGAATAATAACTTTACCGCGCGCACCCGAATAACGTTGAACCTTAAGTTCAAAAGTACCGATTGATTCAACAATTTCATGATCTTTGGAAGTGAATGCAAATATACCGCCATGATCATCGTCAAGAATCATGACTGTAGCGACTTTTGGAGTTGAGAGAGTAGCATTGTCACTAACATTACTCAAGCGAACATAAAAGTGTTCGTCTTGTTCGAAGACATCATCATCAATGACCTCAATACGGAAGCGCTGTTCATCGACACCGGGTGGGAAAATTAATGTACCCTTCTTGCCAATATAATCACTACCGGCTTCAGCCGAACCATCTTCAGTTTCAAAATCAACAGTGACTAATTGTGATAAATCTCCACGACGTACAACACGCAATTCAAAGTCACCAACACTTTCCATGACTGTGTAATGTCCAGGCTCAAAATAAACTTTACATGCATGTCCATCGTCAGTTTGATCAATCACATCGACACGCTGGAGTTCCGCTTTAACCTCACTCAAATCACTTTGTGCACGTTCAGATATTTTACGCATGATATTTCCACTTCCCATCATTTTGCGTGTAGCCTGAATACGATAAAAGGCTCTTGACTTTGGTCCTTTATTCAAAATTTGCTCTTGTGCCATAATCTCCAATTGTTCCAAGTCATGCTGTGGATATTTCTTGCGTAAATCCTTTAATGTTGTTATATATTCACGACGTGAGTCTTCAAATTCTTTAACTTCTTCAGTCATTGCATTTTCTTCAAGTGCTTTAAAGTTATCGTCAAGATGATTGTTCATTTCTAATGTTTGTTCTGATGATTCCGTTTGTACCATGACACCGCGTTTATTCATGCGATAACGTTTACCAATGTATTTGTAAATAAGAAGACGACGATCAGCAATATAAGCTGTGATTACAGTAGCTGGGAACATAAGGAATGTAACAAAACCTTCCCAAATATCAACAACGTTTGGTGAGATGACGTCAAGGATAAGATACAGCCAAATGTATGCAAAGACTGACCATGTAGCCGTGACGAAGAATACACGCAAGTGCTTAATTTTACGAACTTCACCATTTGGAATAACCAAGACACAAATAGCAATGATGACGAAAAGATTGTAAGCAGCTGAACCGACAATGGTACCGGGACCAAGATCGCCTGCCTTGAATTTTTTAGCAAACATTTCAATGACAGATAACAGAATTTCCGGTGCACTGGAACCAAGTGCCATAAGTGTTAAATTAGCAACAGTTTCATTCCATACACGTACAACGACAATTTGTACTTCACCATTTGCCTTTTTTACTTTCACTTCCTTTTCTTTTGACGTAATGACTTCAATTGCCGCCATGAAACGATCCGATACGATTGAGACACCGATAAAGAGATAAAAGAGCGCGAAGAAGTAAACCGCACCGCGAGCAAATCGATCACCAAGCGAAATACCGTGTTGAGGCATCCAGATTTTTAGCATTAAGCCATCTTCCTTACATATTGTATCGTCATGTAAGTCAGGATGTTCAGTTGTTACATTTGATGCTGCTACAAATGACACTGATATTAGAATTGTTGCTACATAAAGGATGAATTTTCTTGTTAGCGACTCCATTTTAATGCTTTTATGTCCACGTGAGTTTTATTATTTTATTAACAGAAATATTTTCGAGACTAGACGAGAAAAAAAATATTTTTTTGTCCTTTTATTACATCCAAAAAATCTTTTTCTTCTTCCTGCCTTTTTTTTATTTTATTTTGACGATACCGATAAAGAAGAATCCGGAAAAAATCTCTTAATTTTTTTATTCACTGATACGCTCACTCTCACAACTGTTTTTCTTCCTCAATTTTTCGTTTTTTTTTGTATTCACTCAACACCGCGAGACTCTCGACATTCGGGAGCCGCCAGGCCGAGACGACTTTTTCTGCACGATTTTTTTTATTCTCAATTTTTAAACACACAAAAAATAGTTTTTTTTTTCACTTCCCGATTATTTTTAGATGACGATCAAAAAAATTTCTTTCGATTAAAATGTGATAAATTTTCTTATTTTTTCAGTATGTCTAGCAAGTGTCATCAAGAAAAAAATAACAAAAGACTGTTGATTGGAGAGATGCACAGTAAGGAACAGAAATAAATTTTCACACAAATATAAATGGCATTAAGACATAAACACACGACCGCGTTTTTTAATGCTTTCTTTAATGCTAACTGTATGATTGTTGCATTTGATTTTTAGCGTCTTTTAATTCCATCGTGTTGAATATTCCACAAAACTTTCCACTGATTTTTTATTTTCAGGCCTTGACTGAAATTTTCTTTTTCTTAAACACACAATTTTTTTTTATACTTGCTAGATTTTTTCAGGTGGCCCTTGATACTATGAAATACACACTTTAGTATAGAATCACTACTATCGGGAGTATAAGAGATGCGATGATGGCTGATGCCTCTCTGAAAAAAATAAAACAAGGAGGAAGAAAAGAAAAGAAACTATAAATAAAAAATTTTTCCGCTCAGCGTACAGTGAGAATTAATTTTTTTCTTTCATTTTATATTAAAACACTTATTTTGAATCAGTGTTGTTAATAGGCTGTCTTTCTGGTTAAGCCTGACTCAGACACCATGATACTCAAACTGTAAACAGATTTGAGTAAAGACAAGTCTTGGAAAACCTATAATATATCAATAGTTTATCAGTTGACCAGAAAGAATATATTATATGAGTTTAGAACTGTATCCAAGCACTTGACTAGTTCTCGATGTTATTCAATTCAATTCTCGATGTTAGCACCAATTCAGGGCTTTCCAAAGAGTACGGAAAATTCCTAAAATGCTTCTAGATATTTGGACCTTCATCCAGACAAGGTCCTTATCAAATATTCTTTAAATCAAACATTATCCAGAAACTTGTTTATGACCGGTGTCTGGCTTAAACTATACATATTGTTTAACAACACTGTTCTGAGTAGTCATCTCGGCTATATCATATGTATATACACACCGGGCAGATTTTCTGCACATGTAAAAAAAATTGAGAAAATTGAAAAATTCTCTCAAAAATTTTCGTTGCTTAAAAAAATAAATTTGAGTATGAGGTGTCCAGCAGCATAAGCATATTATGACATTATGACAATTTGTAATAATTTAGTCGTCGATAGCAAAGTTCACGAAAGTATGTGATGATGATACACATACATACTGTCAAGGCGGGGGAGAGCTAATTTTAAAAATGTTCATTTCTTCATTTGCCGAAATGGCTTTTAATTCTAATTATAATTTCTGCCGCCTTCTTTCTCATACTGAACATTTTTTTTGCTTATAATTTTCAAGCCACCACATAGACATTCATTTTTTTCCTATCTACAATATTATTATAATGTGAGAAGAAGAAAAATGAAAATATACAAATATAAATTGCGAAAAAAATAAAAAAAAACGAATTTTCTTTCTCTGTTGAAATGTTTCTATTTTCTTTTCATTTTCTTTTTTCGGTTTTTTTTTCTCTTAAGTTTTAGCTTTCAAAAATGTAGTGAGATAATTTTTTGACAGCACTACAACAAGGTAACGTTCATTTGTGATTTGAATGGAGCTTAAAATGGAAAAGAAAAAAATTATGGAGAATAGTTCTTCATTAGAGGTTTTGAACATGGACTTGACTTGTTTTCTGAACAAATTTTGTGTTAATCTGGCAAAATACTAGACATCGGCAATTCCTTTTATTCCAATATTTCTCAAAAAGTTTAATTTCAATCCAACTTTGTAAGACTTATGAAGATTTTAACTAAGGCCGAAATTAAGATTTTCAGCATCTTTATAAACGATTTTAGCCAAATCATTTAAACCTTTGCATTGATTTCTAAATGTCAATCGGTTCAGTCTCATCATACCTCTTTTGGCTATCCTCCTAAGAGTGAGCTTTCAAATTTTATAAACACACAATTTACATTAGAACAGCATGTTTCATATCATTTGTTATTCAATAATTTTGCAAAGCATTCACTTGGTCAACCACATGGTCAGCATAAATTTTTGTGCTCTCAAAAACACATTTGAAAATATTCAATTTAGAAGCAATTTAAGGGAGAATCGCACGTTGAAATTTTTAAATAATTTGAATGCAACTTTTCAAATTTTCCATTATTAAAATTCAAAAGTCTCATTTTTAAACAATCGAAAATTTTGAAACTTTTTTTAATTCATTATCCTACACAGTTTTTAATTCGCGCACATGTTTTCATTTATTATAAGTGCTTTGAATTAATTTTTGATATAAAACTTTGCATTAAAAAAATCATCACTTTTCTTCGATTAAAATTTTATTTTTGCTCACGTCACTCATTTATTTCAATGTTATAATAATGTTTTACTTAACATAATCATCAAAAAAATCACGTATTTGTATTATCTCCTAATTATTGCGACAATTTCTCATTTAGTCTTGCTACAAAAAAAAATTTAGTTCCTAATCTCAGCTCGACAAACAAATCGAAGCTCATTCCATAATAATTTATCAATATCTTATCTACGACTTCTTCTTTCCTTGATTTATCAATTTCATTTCATTACGAAGAAGTCTGTGAGCTAGGCAAAGAACAGAAACGAAATCTAAAAGAAGCCTGCAAGGTAGAAAAAAAATATTGATTCATTCACTCATATCATCAATGTCGTAGTCGTATATACCCGATAATAATAATAATAGTAATGACACAGAAAAGTAGTAGAAATAAATTTGTCGGTAGGTAATCATATGATTGCGACCATTTGGCACGCAAAGTTGTTGTGTGCAAATACCTTAGGGATTCGCTTATAAATGGCATAGACTCCTTCAACATTTTTCTTTGTCACAAAATTTTCTTATTAAAATTAATTGATTAAGAGTTTTACGCAGTAATAAAGACAAACTATTTTGAACAGACTATTCCTTACCCCCTCCCCTTCATATATGATACACATCATATGTAAACAATACCTAAATCTCATTTTTGTTCATTTTCTTAATTTTTTTGTCTGTCTATCAGAATACTGTGGAATGGCACATTCTTGCTTCCAAGAATGAACGTAACAAAATGTGAAAAAACAAGACATACCAAGAAAAATGATTACAGTACACGAAAAACTCAAAATATTGATGCTTTTTGCTAAAATAAAAGTAGTTTCAATGCGACGACACACACGCGATGGTACATCAGAAACTGCTCACAACACTTTTTTTGGCTCCCGCGAAAAACAAAAAAATTCTATACATTTAACTTCTTATTTCGTTTGCTCTATTAAAACCCTGGGAAGTCTCTCAAAATTTTATTTTTTTTTCTCTAAAAATTGAAAAAACCAAAAAAAAGAAGAAATTTCACATCATACATATAGTGAGGCAGTAGCGGATGGATCACACTCTTAAGTGGCCACTTAGAAGAAAAAGATGAAAATGCGTGTGAAGGGAAATGGAAGCCAATCAATCATGTCCGCATAGCTGTAGCGAAGGAAGAGGAAAAGAAAGAAAAAAAATCAAATCGATCTTCAACTCTCATCAGCTCATGCGATCAAAAGTGAACTTTTCTGACTCGGTATGTGTGCTTTCACGGATACCAAACAACACCACTGACTATCTTCGTCAGAGTGACGAAAAATTTGAAAAGAATTTTTTTTCTTGCTTCTTGATTTTTTTGGGGGCCCTTGAGGGTAATTTAATAGTTTTAAGATGGTGTGAAAGGATGGTGTGTTAAGGATTTAAAATTTGAAAATTCAATCTCGCGGTTAATTTTGGAGCTTTTTTAACGGTTGATGAAATTTTCTCAAAGGGTCCATAATCCATGCTAAAAGTCGAATGTATATTTTTTTGAAAGAAAGGAAAATTAATTCTTATATTTTTTTGTTCCGACATTCGAAACCATTTTCAGACCTCCTCAATGAATCTGACATGTGAAGGAAAAAAATAATCCGTGTGACGATGAAGAAAATAGAGTAAAAAATTAGTTTTATGATCTTGTGAATCTTTATTTTACGAGTCTTTTCATGATCGCGGGAATTTAAGCATAATGTGGTGCGGATGAAAAAACAATTTAGACAATTTAAAGAGGTTTAGTATAGAAGTCGTTTATCAAAGATCAAGAGCCACCATGTGAGTCACATATGAAGCAACAAATTTTCAAATGTAGAATATAATAAACGACTCTCCTGACCTTTGTTGATGTCCCCGACCTTTGACAAATAAATTCTAATACATAGTGCAGAATCTTATAAATAACTTCAATCTCTGTCATTCGATAAGATACTTGTTTGACTTTTCAGAGCCAAATCTTTTTTGAAAATCTTTTAGTCATGCACACAAAAAAAAACTTAAAATGAACAAAACTCGACTAGTTCACTGAATAAATCAGATTTTTTGAAATTTGAGAATCCTCACTGATTTCACAATTCAGTTTTCTTTAAATGTTTATTATTTTAAGTTTTAAAATTCACATTCTCTTGTTAAGATTTCGCTAGAAATTTAAGCCACACGTTCGAGTTTTATATGTCGATTTATCAGTCTTTTCACTGTGTAACAAAATCGAATAAACACCAATTAATTAAATTACTTTTTCTTCAATATTTAATGAATTAATTTCTGTAATTGTTCAATCAGCTGTTTGACAAGATTTCAATGTGTTTTTTGTTCATAATCTCTTCTGAAAACACAAACACATTAATAATTAATTCACTTTTTTCTACTCCAATTATACACTTTCGAACCCTTGTCATGTTGTTCAAAGATAAATTAAAGTTCAATTCGTTTCAGACATGACATTGTTATAGTACATAGCAAGCTAGTAGGTGGTAGAATTATCTTTTTCAAGAAGTCTAGAATTTTATTGGTCGAATGATGTCAAAATGAGTTAGCTTAAACAGTGACTTCTTTACCATTCACTGTTTATGTCTTTAACAAGTCATCATTTTATTAAGCAATTGTTCACATTAAAATTATTAATTTCTCCTAATTTAAATAAACACAATACTTCTTTCAATGACCTAATGTATCACTAATGAAGATGATGAAGGAACGACGATGAGTAATTCATTGACGCAGACACACATTTATCACCTGATCACCCACAGCAAATTTTTTTAATTCAATTGAAATCTCTTTGATAATTTACAAATTCACAAAATAAACAAAACAACCACTCAGCTATAACTTTTCTATCTATTCTTTTCGCGAAAGCTAAAATTAATCTTTAGAAAAATTTCATTTGGACACTTTCTGCATTATATTACAGATATTGGGCAATTCACATTTAGTTTTGAATAAGAAGTTCTTGAATTTATGTGCTAATGAAATAAATGAATAAACTGAATTGCATTTTTCAAGGTAGGAAGACTCTCCTGGGGTGAATAAACTTTTTTCACATGTGTTAAAAATTATAAGTCCCAATTTGAGCACTTCCTTGTTATTTTATCACTATATTTAACAAATATTTGGTTAAGTGTTGAAGGTTAAGTTCATGACGACTTCCAAAACAATTATTAATTTCATGATAATTCCGAATAACTGTTTTTTAATATTTTATTTTAATCTGAGCAAAATATGGACTTAATTAAACTAAAGGCTTCAGAATTATAAGAAATAATGCAGTGGCAAAAGTTGCAAGGGAAATTTTCCATTGTGAAATTCTTAAAAATCTTTTTTATGGACTGGACTTTGTTGAAATCACAAGGTTGACGAAAAAGATATTTTAACTTAAGCGGCATTCACTGATGCTTATCCTTTATATTCTCTTCTTTTTAATTCTCTGAATTTTTTGCTATTATCTTAACTCTGTTCAAGACTTAATAAATTGACAAATTTGCATAACCAGTCGTGTTGCCTAGGTCAGATTTTTTAAAATTGAGCGAAACGTCTGTGTGAATTGTTCTAATCGAAACAAATTAAGATGTCTCATGATAAGTGTTTGTTTAGAAACTTGATAAGTTTTTAAATGGGATAGCAAACTACCCTTTATAATGAAAAACTTCAACCTTTTTCTTAAATAACACATAAAAGAATTAAATTGCTGATTACTCCAAAAAATTTAAAAGCTCAACCATCAACCTTTTATATACAGATTGCATGTGCAAAAATCACAAATGTGAAAGGTCAATAAATTTCAAAACTTTTCCATAGAAAAAAACATGTGTCGTCTAGCAACTTTCATTTTTCATATAAATCATGATTTTAGTATTTTTGGAGAAGTCATTCACTTATGATGTCTAGCAATTAAAGAATAATCCAAAACTTTGGAACACTTTTAATACAAGAACAAAACACTCAAATTATTAGAGCAAGTCTGATCGGAACTCTGCATAAAAATCGAACAAATGAACATTAGTCTCAATTCACTTCAGACAAAACCAAATCAAACAGGAAGGAAATTACACAGTCACTAGCAATAAATATAGATTTTTAAAAAATTTGTCATCTCAATTTCTGATAGATAAAGTAAATATTTCAGCTGATTGAAATGCCGGGGTAATAAATTTCTCAACAATTTATATGAAAGTGTCATCTGCACAATGACTTTTTTTTTTGCAAATGTTAAACAATTTTTTTCTCATTCGCTTTTTGAATTCAGTTCAATAAAGTGTGAGGAGGAAAAAAAATGTTTCATATACGACAGGCTCTTCACACTTTCTATGTGAACAGCACTTCTATTCGATTGGCTGTCTTAATTCAATTAGGAAAATTTTCAGTTTTCACTTCTGATCGGAATTAATGTCTGTTAGAATACTTTTCCATTAATAATTCTGCTGCCATTTGAAATTATCCAAATTGCCTCGTGAAAAAAAAAGAGATTCTTTTGTGAAGGAGAAATGAACAGTTTTTTGAGTAGGAATTGTTCAACTATGACGTCTAGAAAGGTTGTGAAATTGAAGTAACAAAAGAAATGGTTAAAAAATTAAAACTTTTTGAAATATGATCTATAAGATCGTAAACCCTCCAAACCCTACCCCTTTTTTAATAGACGTCATTGATGAACAACCCCCAAAAGAGTGAGAAAATTCCCTTCTCGTCTTTCGGACTAGCGAATTTCCTATTATTATTACAGCACAAGAAAAAAATAATCCAAAAATAAAATCATTCTTGTTGCGAATATCTTCTGGTTTTGATGTGTATTTGTAACATAGCCGAGAGACTTTATTTTTTATTTTATTTTTTTTTCCGCTCATAATTATAACTCTATATCCATATATAATTTTTTTTTGTTCTTGAACGAACCAAAATTATTTGATGAATATAGACAGATATACAACAAAAAGAGAGAAACTTGTTGTTGTTGTTTTAGAAACTCACAAAATTGTATATGTATGGTAATTTATTCGCGAAATTCCCGTTCAATTAAAAACAATACTCGATAACTTCCCGCTTATTATAATTGTCGTAACTTATTCAGAGAGCGAAATTTTTTTATTATTTTTTTTGAAGTCGATAAATTTTTATTTTGCTTTAATAAATTTATTTATTTTATTTAAAGTCCCGATTCAATTGTCTTGAAATGCGATTCCGCTCCTCGATATGCCGAAATGAATTCACAGACTAAAAATGCGAATGCTTTACACAAGCAGAAAAAAAGCATAAGCAAGAAAATGTTATTCCCAATAAACTTCGGCTCACTCTGTATATTTTAGTTCTCTCTCCCGATATTATTATTATATTGTAGAAGAAATTCTTCACAAAATATTTTCAGTAAAGTTGAAGTCAATATTCTCAGAGAGTAAGCCTGTCATAAGAGAGAATCAAGAAGCAGAACGGCATGCGTATGTGTAGATGCGATAAAATGCTGAATTATCTTTAGTGGAAAAGTTTCATGTGTTTACAAAAAAACAAAAAAAAAATTTATGCTTTACTTTACAATCGACATTCACGATTGATGATTCATTAATTCTGTGCATTTACTCATCAAAAAATGTGAGCGTAGCAGTAAATTTTAAGAGAGAGAATCTCTGGAAAAGTTGCGCAATTTTTTCAGAATCTCATATAAAATTTGAAAAAAAAAGTCAAGTCCATGGTAAGTCAAGTAAATGAGAGTGGAAAACAACAAACGCACATGTATGAAAAGTGAGAGTGAATTTATATAGTAACAAATAAATTATTTACTACGCACAATCGGCATGGAATTGAAGTTCACCAACACAAATGTGCTTCTGGATTTTCTGAATTGAAATGCTTTCTGGTGTGGTGAGTTTGTTGATGGCAGTTGTGATAATATTTTCATAAAATTGTTGATTCAAATTTTTTCTAAAGCTATTTTATGAATTGTTTGTTTCGAAATTTAAATTGAAACATATTTTACGTCCATAATGTCCACGAAATGAATATCAAAATCACTCAACTTAAGCAGTGAATGATTCAAAATTAAAAACTTTTTCATTCATGAAAATCTGTGCTTTCAATGCAGCTCCTGCTTGCAGATTTCAACTTTACTTTGAATTACTAAAGCTTTTTATTATGACGAGGTGAATTTTAAAGCTTTTCACCATCAAAACAATTGATAAGAAAATTGCTGTATTATATTTGAGCACGTGCTAATAGTATTTTGTTGAGTTGTAAGTTGTCTTTGAAACAGACTAGTTAACTGCAATACAATTTTTTTTAAAACTTATTTGATGAATAATAAACTTGCCAAAAATTTTAAACATCCAAAAGATTAAATGGATATTAAATAAGACTGGGAATGGCTCATTAGTCAACTAATATAAAAGAATAAATTTGACAAAACTTGAAATCAAACAATTGCCATTTAAGGAAATTGAGAAGTGGTTCTGCGTCAGTTTTAGTTTTAAATATGAATATTTGAAAACATACAACGTTGCTTCATTTAAAAATGTGGCTTTAAATATTATAGGAAATTGAAAACCTTAATTATTTTTTTTTTATAAAAACTTATAAGCATATTTTATTATATGTATCGTAAAAAATTGTACTTCTTCAGTGTAACTATTTGAAAACTTTTTTCACAAATGCTTTAAAATATTGTCATGAATAAAGTTTATTCATCGGTCTTCAAACTTCATATCGACAGGAAACTCTGGCGTCATAATGAATTTGAAAACTTTATCAAATCTGCTTTCATATTTAATTTTGAAAGCTCTAACAAGTTTGATAACAATTGCAACCAATTCAACTTCTGCAAATTTTCTGCCAGGACATGCACGTTTACCAGTTCCAAAAGGTAAAACTAGTGATGATTCAGGTAGATTTGAACTATCAAATTCTCCATTGGCATTAAGCCATCTTTTCGGTTTGAAGGAATTTGAGTCAATAAAATTTTCTTCTTTAAGGCATGCAACCATAGTTTGGCATAAAACAAAAGTCTGTAAAATAATAAAATTTTAAAATTATTAAAACACTTAAAAATAATTCACATCCTTACCCCGCTCTTTACATGATGTCCAGATAATTCAAAATCATTTTCCAATATTCTTGCAAGTGCTGGTGCTGTCGGTGTCAATCGGAAAGTTTCATAAAGTACAGCACGTGTATAATGAGCTTTCTTTAAATCGTCAGCAGTTAAAAATTCATTGAGGAGCGATGCTTCTTTGAAAATTTCATTTTGTACCTCAGGATGTTCGGAAAGATGATAGAGAAGGAACATTATTGTAGCCGTTTTAGCTTCTGTACTGCCTGCGAGGAAATCTAATAAGAAAGAGGAAATTTGAAAATTGGACTTGTTAAGCTTTTGTAGAAATTTATTGTCGATTGATCTAGAGGATATTAAAGATAAATGACGCGGATGTAAAGGAAATACTTTGAATTAAATTTGGTTTGAGGATATAAAAGTAGTTCTAAATGTTCAATGTAAATTCATTTTAAACTTACCAATGATTCCACAAATTTTATCCTTCATATCAAGCCCTTCCGCATTTACAACTTTCTCTAGAATGCTTGTAATTTCTGTGTCGCTTGCTTTCTCCTTATCTTCAATTAAAATCTTCTCTATTATTTCACTAATTACATCATAAATCAGCTCCTCGCTTTCAGCAAAAGTTTTATACGCCTTCGTTGGGAAATACTTCCAAAATTGCGTACCTGAAATTGACACCAATAATTATTAATTTTACATCAAGAAGAAGAAAGACTAAGAGCTAAAGTTTGATTAAAGGTGGGATGGTAATTTTCGTGATGAATCTTGAGCTTAAACATTATTGAAATTAATCATTTAAACGACTACTAAATTGATATAGAAAGTGTATTCAGCACAAACTTTAAAGTCGATTCTCACCATAATAAGTATCACGAATTGCTTCCATAATCTTCACATTTGCATCTGTAAGTTTTGCGATTTTTTCACTCCCTTCAATACTTCCATAGCCACGCTTTCCAAGCACAAAAAAGCAATTTGTTTCGAATGACATTAACCTCAAGTTTTCATGAAAGTTTTTGATTTCATTATTCTCATTCCGTACTGTCCTGATGACATCATTAAAGTCTGAACAAATATCATTTAAATCATTGCAAAATTGGTCGTGAAATTTACGATTTTCAAGAGTCTTTAATGACAACTTTGTCCTTAATTTTAACCATTCCGGGCCTTGTTCATTTGCAATTCCAGTCGATGAATATCGATTTTTATTTTGCATCCGATAAAATGTTTGAATCTCATTTGGTGGACGAAATGGAAACTGTGATGGACTACTTAGTACTTTGTCAATGTCTTGACGATTGAAAATTGACACAATTGGAAAATTGCCATTTAATTCCATCACAACATCTCCATAATTTTTGTTCAATCCATCATAATATTCATGTAGCTTTGACATCTCTATAGACTGCCACTTTGTTCCAAAAAATGGGAGACTTAAAGGACCAGGAATGGATAATTTCTTCACTTTTCTTAAGAATCTTATATAAATATAGAAGAATATTGTTGTTATTGTAGTAAGTAGAAGGTATTTATGGACTTCCATTTTTAAAGCTTTCTTTTAGATTCTGAAAAAGAAGTTAAATTTTATATGAGTTATACGTTTGATTCTGGAGAGTTTGAGATGTATTGCTGGAGCTGATTTGACTAAATTTTGTGGACTTTATTCAATAAATTTGGTTCCAACTGATACAAGTGCATGTGAAGTCCAAAAAAAGGAAATTTTATTTAAAAATCAAATTCAGTCAACAACTTAAAAATTGACATTCACGACCTCGAATCTTATTGATTCAAATTTTACAGATTGTCTCAAAGTCATGTCAAAAATATGACACAAATCAGTGACAACTTTATTACCAACTCTTGATTGACATGAATATTTACACGCACAAATTACATATCACATCATAAAAATGTTCATGTAAACAATCGTTTCATCAAAGGAATTCCATGACATACACAACAGAATGTAAACATTTCAAACGCCACAAAACTACGCAAAAATATGAATGAAGTTGTAAAATTTTATTGATACGGAATCTGTTTACATTCAGAATGAATTTATTGGAATTTAATATACACGTGTGGCACAGATCAGCAAAAAAATGTGCAATAAACTTTTTTTTCTCATCCAGTAGCAGTTTTCGTAAGTAAACAGATGTAAACATGAATAATATTAAAATTTACTCAAGTGCCATGACTTTTAAGTCAATGAACCTTTCTCAATTTTTTTTGTTTATATTTTTGTTGGAGCGTAAATGATTCATTTTATGTTATTTTTGTCGAGATGAGTCTTTATTTGATACTGTTTTGCGTATGATTGGGAATCTCTGACACTCAAGTTTCTAATCGTTCAAGTATGTGAACTGTAAATAAATAGCAACACTGTATGAATTTAATTTAGGCTTGATCACTATTGTTGTGGCTAAATCTGAATATTGGAATTGACAGAGGTTATGAAACCTTCGGAACTTTTTCTTAATTTTTCACATGCTTTCATTAAATTAGTTGCCTAGCTTCACTTTAGCATCATATGATGTCAACAAAATCAGGCCAATTAAAACATAATTCTCAAGAATTACGATTAGAACCAAGTCAATAAACTTTCTCTATGATGACGGATGTAGACATTTTACAAGGTGACTTTCCATTTTTTTCTCACGCAAAAACGTTTATTTTTAAAAAAATTGATATCAAAATAATGATTTGTATTTTCGCTTATCGGCACTTCAATGTCAAGTTTTCACCTCACATATGCTGAATGGATCGTTATGATGATGTGTGATTTTGTAGACTCAGTCAAAATAATTAAAGTTTGTTTGACAAATATTGTAATTTAATTCTGTAGGAATGTGAAATATTTATTTATAACTTTCTCCGTTTATTTATTACTGTTAATAAAGGGAGTGTCAGCACACTTATTTAGCATTTTATAGAGATTCCAACTTAAAGAGCTTATTTTGGATTTTTGGTGGACAGTTTAACTTGTCCTTATTCTTAAATTCTTTGATTTTCGCTTCTGCTGGCTAAGTTTTATGATCATAAAATATTCTTAGCCAGCATAAGATTGGAATGTGATTAAACAGCCAATTTGTTACACATAAGTTACAAAAACCAGCAACTTGTAACCAATTCCATAATGCTTTATTATCACTTTTAAATGAAACATAAATTTTTGTCACCAATTGCATAATGCACTGTTCTAGAAAAATCAACGAAAACACTTAATTCAATTTTACTATCAATTTAATATTCTTGATTAGAGTGCAACGAAAAATGCTGATTAATCATTTTTAACTCATATTTTCCTTGAATCCGATTTTCACTAGATCATTATGAATGTTTTCAAAATAAATCTAAACTGTTTACTATTATGACCCAGTTTTAGTTGAATTACCCTTCGAGATTTTTTTTTACGGAGAAATGAAATGATGAATCAATTTTCCTACCAGACTTCTTATGATAATCACAAAAAATAATAAAAACTTAGGTTTGACGTTTGCACGAGTTATGCAAAAAAAAATCAGCTTTGAAGTGCTTACTGGATTTTATTGAAAATGAACAGGTTTACTTCACCACGGGAAAATAATGCAATTCGAAATTGTAATTGCATAATATTTTTATTTCTTCGTGCAGTCTTCAATTCAGCATAAGTAAATAAACTGTATTCTTTTTACCGATGCAGTTATAATATAGACTGAAATGCTGCTGATTTTCGTGGCACTTTGGTTTCAAAATAAATTTTTTGTTATCAATTTATTTTGTAATATCAAAAAAAAATGTCATTTTAATTGAGGAAATGATGCAGTTTGAAACTATTTTGTAGAGTTCTCTATTTTTATAGCTGTAAATGGAGCTGTAGGAGTTTAAATTTGATCCCCTTAGTTGATTACTTAAGAATATAATTAGAATTAAACTTGAATTTGTAGTAAAATCCAACAATATTTCATCACGTTTTTCAAAAGGCGTGCTTATAATAGATAACTCTGAAAAAGTCATCCAAAAAATATGCTTCTTTGAAATTCACACAGAAATTCTTTTTGCACCTCGAAAATAATTCCTTATCAGCTGATTATTTTCATGACCAAACCGCAAAGTTGTATTTTCCAAAAAAAAAAAAATATTACTTGCACTTGATTAAATTTTAAAAATGCACAAAAATGTCTAAATCAGCTTAAAACTTAGTTAAATAATCAGTTTCGAAGCATTAACATGTCGTACCTTTTCTTAACAGATTTCAGTTTCGATTATCAATCACACTAGCATACACACAAACTTTGTATTCTTAACGTTTAATTTATGAGGTTTTTATTTCTTCTCTTAGTTCTTATCACCAGTAATTTTGTATAAGTTCCTTTCTCAAGAGATTACATTTGACTGAGACTAAGTTTATTAAAAACACAGAATATAAATGTTTAATGAACTATGAGTGCTACAATACGCTCAACATTCTCCAAAAAATAATTCTCTTTAAGAACGTATGACAAGAATTATTAATTTGATGCAGAGTCAAAAATTCTCTGTTTTTAATGACGACATTTTTCTCTCAAAAGTGCAGTTAGTTTTCGGTAACGTCACTCTTAAATGTGCAACTGTCTTTATGTACGTGTGATTTACTATTAATGAACTAATCAAAAAACGTGGGAAAATGACGATTAAAATTGAATTTCCGTATTTATTTGTAGATTGACGTAATGGATTGAAGAAAATATTATCGTGCATTTTGCTCGTTGAAAATTTGAGGAGCAAAATCAGTTGTAATTTTGATTTGGATCAGTCAACTTATAAAAAGGAGGCTCTTCTGAGTAATAAATGAAAAAATTGTTATTGGCATAGCAAGTGGTAAGAAGCTAAACCTACATCTACATTTTTCTAAAGAAGATTGATGTCTTGAAAACAATAGCTACGCAAAAGTGACGTCAATTAGTTGAAACTTTATGATTTGTTGCAATCAATAAGATTTATTAGCAGAAAGGTTATCAAGAAGTCTTTAATCTTCTATTGTTTGTCATCGAATTGTATTAAGCAATATTACATACTTATTAATTTATGAATTTAAAGTTTGAAGGATACTCCTAAGCAAATAACCCAAATTACTAATTAGTCACGCAGTTTTGAAGATGTCACATGAATTTTAATAAGCTAAAATTAAAAAAAAAAAGAATTCAATGTCATAAAGTCAGAAAAATAAAAACTTTTCTACGATTTAAACATTTTGAGATGATTTTAAGAACAATTGATAGTAAAAATTACTTTCTTCTTGTTACTGGCCATGAAATCGTCAGTTTTTAAATGAGTGTTTTGCAAATAAAAACTTTTCCAGATTGATGAGTTTTTATAGGAGTGATAGTAGATTAATGCTTAATTTTTTGGAGTGAACTTGGTAATGAAAATTATATGAAGGTCTGATTTGTTTTTAATCAGCCTAAACATTTGATTAGAATACATCGACACATTAGCATCATTCCAATATAAGTGAAAATATGACTTGTAATTTACAATTTAGATTTGGTGTGAAACTAGCAAATTTATCAATGTTAATAATAATAATAATGTGAGAGGGTTCCAGCCTGGCGGTGTGTTACTACACGTTGCGATGAGCTGAAGGCACTGCGATCCTGATCGATGATAGAATCTATTGTACCGTTAGAATCTATTGTACCGTTTTATCAATGTTACTTCACCTGTGAAATCTGAAAATAAAACTTTGAATTAAAATTTCCAAAAAAATATTTTTTATGTTTAGATTTTTATTTTAATTTTTAAATTAAATTGTTGTGTTATTTTTCATTCTCACAATTGGTTTCTCATTCTTATAATCATTTTGTAATTTCTTATCAATTTTTTTTTATTCATTTTCTCATTTGAAATGTAGAACTGATATATACAGCTTATCAAACATAATTTTGATGCAATTTTTCATTCTCTACACTTAATTTTAATTTTATTTAAATATTTTTTCTGGCTGAATAGAAATTTTTTATCTTAAATCCTTTTTCACTAAAAACTTTTTAATGCATCTTTACAAGTCGTAAGCTTCACTCACGCAAGATATTTTATTTATATTACTCAATCTAAGATCAACTAGCTTTAATCTCATTTCTTGTTACATGTCGTGTTTTGCTCTCTATTTAAGGTTTATCAGTAATTCAAGGTAGGTCAAATGTTGATAAATTTTGGATTGACTCTTAAAAACTCGGTACATCATTGCTTAATTTTCTTTCTCTCAATAATTTTAATTTAAAAATTCACCGCAAGTTTTAGGACCCTATATGTCTAATCATATGTTTTTACAATTCCAATTTTTTAAAAACAAACCCAAGTTATTTAAATAAATCCAAAAATCGACATTCAATGCAGCACATGACAAAAAAATATATTTATGACGTTTTTTATAAGTTTTTATGAAAATTCAAAAATTTATTACGACAAAGGCTTAAATTCTTGACAATTCTTTTCAAAACTTGACTGCCGATCATAAAAACCTTTCTTCAGTCACATGCTACGCTGCACTATTGACCTCCTTAACTGTCAACCTTGAATAAATTTTCCGAAAATTTTTGATTTATGGTTTTTTATCATCTAAAATTATGATTTACTTATTACCTTATTATTTTTTTTTGTTACAAAAAGATGAGATTTGAATTTTTTTACTTTTGATTTCACCACGTAGATTTACATTTAATTTTTTGTTATATTAATGTTTTGCTTATTCCTTTTGAATGAAATTTTTCTCTTTCAATTTTTTTTTTTCAAAAAGAATAAATTGTTGATTTTTGAAGGTTGATGGGTCATTATCGGGTAATAATTGATACTTTGATCTAAAATTCCCGACATAATCTTCTCCTGAGCAACACAAAGTAGTCATTTGGATTTATTTTTGAATCTTTGTGAAGCTTCAGATTCAACCTGATTATTTTTACAATAAAAATGATTAGATCCACATCTTAGTAAATTTATTTTAATTTTTATCGTTAAAATATTTTTTTTGTTCTTCTTTTCAATATCATTCATGTCGTTTTGTATTGATCAAAGCCCTTTTTTAAAATGAAAATAAGATAAGCAATTTTCAAAAATTTCATACTTTCCACTAATTTTTTAATTTCCTTAATTTACTTCCAATCGATTAGAAGGTTTTCATTAAATATAAAAAAATTTCTTTCTCTCTGTGTCATATGTCATTTTTAATTATTATAAATTTATTGCTATATTTGTCATTTCTTAATTTTTTCATTCATTTGTTGTTCATTTTTCAAATTTTTTCACTTACATTCTAAAGAATTTTTTTTATTAAAAACTTAAATATTATAATAAAAAAATGATAAAATTTTTTACAAAAAAAATAGAACAAAATAAAAAAGTTCTGAAGTATCTCATTTATTACAGTCAGCAGTCTTATAAAAAACGTTTTTGATCAGAAAATAAAACAAAAATTAAACGAAAAATGTTTAAAGTAAATTAGGAAGAAAATCTTTGCTTGTCATTTTTGATTTCTTTTTGTGAGTGTTTTGAGGAAATAAAATTGAAATTTTTCTTGTCAGGAGTTTTTATTATGCAAGTTGTTTGGAAAGTTTTCATCTTGAAGTGGCATAATTTGCACATTTTAAAGCTTAAAACTTCTCCTTCTTGTGCACTAAATTTTAAGCATTGTAAGCAAAAATATTTTTGAATTGATGCACATGAAAGGAGTGGGATAAGGATGAAAAGACCCTGGGATGCATGATGTTTTACAAACATTTAAGCTTTTAATATGTCTAAACTACCATCCCTTAAACTCCTTACACGAGAAAAAAAAAACAATTTTATTTCCTTTTTTTTTTGATTTTCTCTTTTATCCGTTTTTAATAATCTCAATTATTGGCAGGGAGAAGCCTTTAAAAAGGATTAATCTCTGAAATTTTGCTTCCTATTAAATGTCATGGAATGTTTATTCTCGTATAAATCTCTTTCATGTATGTATCTATGCGTGATGTGCGTTATCAATTATTGTGAATTCCGTTACTATTTTAAACAAAAAAGAATCGTTTAGAGGTATTAAAGAACTGGAACTGATATGCATTTTAAAAGGTTGAAAAAATCATAAAAAGATGACTTGCATCAATTTTATTTAAAATATGAGTGATTTATGAGAATTTGGACATAGGCTGACTATCAAATATTAATCGAAAAACTTACTTCCGAAAGTCAATTTAGTACAACCCAGAATTTTTGACTGTCCAAAAAAAAATATTCAACTAGAGTATTCTGCTTCATGACCCCTAAGACAAGTTTCATGGTTTTCTAATCAATTGCTTTAGTTTTTTGAGTTCATAATCAATTGTGGTTTTGATTACATTAATTATAATTTTCTTTGTTCAGACATGCACGTAGCTCGTAGGCTTGTGCCGGAAACATTGACTTTAATTATATCAGCTGAATGACTACAGATGATCAACTATGACTGAATTTATCTCGTTTAAAATAATTTAATTGGAGTTGACCTTTATGGTATGGTTTATATTTTTTTTGAAAAAGCATGTGTGGCATGCAGTATGACTTTATGGTATGTTGTGTTTATCCTTACTTGACTTTGAACCCTGGACTATGAAGCTCTCTAGTTAATAAAGCAAAATTGCAGCTTGGAAGGCTTGCTAAAATCTTTGCAGTTTATTTTCAAGACTTTTTCAGTGCATCTTAAAATGCACACCAGTATGTGATGGGTAGAAATAAATATTACATGGGAAACATTATAAATTAAATCCAACAAAAGTTTGTTCACCTTCATTATTAATGGTAAGCGTGGCCTGTCTATTGCATTCATTTTTCTTCCATTTAAGTGTTTTTATTTGTTTTTAAAAAATTCGTTCATTTCATTTACTTCCTTTACAATAGCAATAATATAGCATTAAAAAATTTTTTGTTCATTCAACCATACTTAATCCCATATAATTAAAAATAATTTTAATAAAATTAATTAATTAATCAATAATTTTAATAATATACAAAAATTGCGTATATCACAAATCAAATTAAAAGGTTGTTGATTCCACTTAAGGGGTTATTCATAAATGACGTCCAACATTTAGAAAAGACAATGGAGTTAAAAGTTATTTGAAACTTTTTAAACTTTTCAGCATCATTTGAACCTAAACATGATAGACGTAATTTGTGAACATCCCTCATATGATTTTTTTATATCTTCTTTCATTCGTTATTTATAAAAATTTTCTTCCAAAAAAGAGAGAAAAACTTAATTTGATAATGAATAATAATTAAAAAATTGTCAGCAGCTCTGTGTTTTTATGAATAAATGCAATCGTTAAAATGTGATGGCATGAGGACGATAATATTTGATCAAAAATTCAATTTTCGAGACATTTTGGTCAAAAATTAACAATTCTCATTTTGTGACGAATTTTTTCCTTTTTAAATTTTTAAGATAAAAATTTAAGATTAACTGGAAAGTGTCCATAAATTCACATGATTTTCAGTCAATCAGAAAAAAATTCGTCAATTAACATTCATGTACATACAAAGTTGATGTCTCAAATGTAATAGAACATCATATACTAATTTATCAATATCATGCGGAACAAAGGCTTGGCAAGCATCATTTTTTGTGTTTAGAATAAAAACTGATTTTTTATAAATTTTCTTCTAATATAAAAATCTGTAATTTGTTATTTAAAATAGTTATCGGTTTGATGGATTTACTCTGGCACAGATACCTCGAAGAACTGCCAATTTTAAGCAATTCTCAAGATCAGCAATGCCAGAGCATCCACCAAAATATGTGAGTTAAATGTAAAAATTAATCCAGTCTATTGCAGTTTCATTGTAGTTTACTATTGCATGTTATGTGAATGTGAATTTAATTAAGTAAAATCATAATGAAAATAATCTCCTAATATACGGTAATAATGTGATTATGAATTCTTTTAAAAGCAATAAAATGGCAAGAACTTTAAGGATTAAGAAATTTTTTCTTCTTCTCTTTTGTACGTCAATTTTCTGTTTTGGAAATTAAGTTTTTTAAAGATAAGATGTGAGTTTTAGAAGATTTGAGGAACAATTTTTAGATAAATCGGAAGAAAAGGTAAGAATTCATCGAATAATATCCAGATAAATCCCATAAAATCCTCTAAAACATCACCCTACACACACCTATCTCTGATTGATTGGAAAGCTCAAGAAGTATTTTTTATTTTTCATAAAAATTTCAATGGAAGTTTTCATTTCTTTCATTCGAATAGATTTGCTTGCAAGCAAATTATAACAAAAATTCATTCAAATTTTAATTTTCTACTAAATTTGTTTTTATAAATTAATTCGCTTTAAAAACGTTTTTTGCATACGAAAGTGTGAAACTATGATAATTTTTTGCATTGGATAAAAATTATTAGAATTATTGGAGGTAATTCATTGAACTAAGGTTTTGAACGATGAATTTTCTTATCGAGTCGAATTGAATCATCAATGAATACTTGAATATTTTTATGATATAGGATCTTAAGATTTTGGGTGGAGAGTCTATCGTGATCATGACGTGGAAAACATTAAATAACCTAGCTTAATCCACAGAAAGCTCCAACTCTAACCCCACCAACAATTTCAATTGAAAATTTCAGATCTATGATACAAAATCCTCATCTAATCATTTCTTCAGTAATCAACATAGTGTCTATCTCCATCAATAATCAAGTGTCAATGAATTACCTCTGCATAATGCATGAAATGATTATTTACAAAAAATTCTGTGTCATCGAATATCATTGAATTTCATACAAACATGGAAGTTGGCGTTGCCAGAAAATTATCCATTTCAATATTCTACGATATGATTTTTAAAAAAATGAGTTTGCCAATTATTTTAAAGTTTGTTTTTTTTGGAAAAAGAAAAAATGGGGAAGAAAGAAGAGAGAAAAAGTTTTGTACAGGAAGAAAGAGAGAAAAAATATAAAATTAGTTGCTAGTCAATGCTGCCATCAGATCATTTCAAATTACAATGTCCAGCTGTCGTGCTTGGTGTAGAATTTTCTTCTGATGTCCCACAAGTGTAATACCCATGTCAGAAAGTTGTTGAGCAGTGAGACGAGCAACCTATAAAATTCGAGAGTTTTATAATGAATGTGTGCATACATTTGTGATTTATTAGGAAATGACACTATTATCAAAATAAATGCATACCTGTTGCGCCGTTACGAGACCAGCTTCTTTAAAATGCTGTGCATATCGTCCCATTTTGATATCACTCAGCCATTGATCAGTCGTATTGAAGACAACATTTGTTGTTCCCATTGTACCACATCGACTATCCATCGTATGGCCCATTATTAATTGCGGCTGTTGTTGACCATGCGACGATGATGATGATGTTGGTGTTTGATGAAAGTCTGGACCCTGTTGATCGCTAGTCGGTGAATTTCGAATTGTAAGTAAAAGTTGTGGTTGACGTGCAAAGTTGTCGAGTGTTTGTGTAATGCTGGCAAATGTCGGTCGATGTGTCCTTTGCTTTTGCCAACAGTCTAACATAAGTTGATATAGTAGCTCTGGACAGTCCATTGGTGCAGGAAGTCTATAGCCTTTTTCGATGCTCTTTATTACATCCTGATTTGACCAATTCCAATAAGGACGTTCACCATATGACATGACTTCCCATAAAACAACACCATATGACCACACGTCACTCGCTGATGTAAATTTACGGAATTGAATTGCTTCTGGTGCTGTCCATCGAACTGAAAAAGTTAATCAAATTTGTTAAATTCATGCCTTAATTAACACGCTTTTTGATTCTACCTGGAATTTTACCGCCACGTGTCGTATATGCATCGCTTGCATTTTCAATCTCACGGCTTAAACCAAAATCTGCAATTTTACAAACGAGCGATGCATTGACGAGGACATTTCTGTATGTGTACACAAAAAAACGAGAGAGATGAACAATTGAATGAAAAAGGTTATATTTTGTATAAATTGATTATCCTACCGTGCAGCTAAGTCACGATGCACATAATTCATGTCGCTGAGGTATGACATGCCAGCTGCAATACCTCTCAGCATTCCGACTAACTGGAGTGTTTGAAATTTGCCATCATTGGCACGAAGGAATGTATCTAAGCTTCCATTTTCCATATATTCTGTAATAATCATCACTGGATTTGATCGTGTCACGACTCCTTGTAAATAAATGACATTGGGATGATCAAATTGCCCCATTATTGATGCTTCTGTGAGGAAATCACATCGCGCTTTTTCACTGGATCCTGGTTTGAGTGTCTTTATTGCAACGTCAATTTCCTGGACAAAATTTGGAGGGATCTTCAATCGACCTCGACAAACGTCACCGAATTCTCCACCACCTGTGAAAATTTTTTATATTATGGCAATCTAATATATATTTCAGGTTCATTGAACTTACCAATAATTGCTTCAATTGTGATATATCCTGCATCGATTTCTCTAGCGAACTCCCGTATTGCTTGATTAGGATCCTCATATGTGTGCGGATCAACATAGCTTCGATTTCCACCAAATAACGGTGTGGTCACTGCAAAATTATTTCGTCGAGCAGAATAATATTTATAGCCACCTTCTGATGATTTTAATTAATTTTCAAAGTTCACGTGCAGTTTTACGATGCAAAATCAAATAAAATTCCAAAAGCACACAAAAAATATTGAAGCACGCAAAAAATATTTCCAATAAAAAGCAAGAAAATATAAAAGAAAGTTATCCGTTGATATTTTTTGCAGGCCAAAGCACACACCAAAAAAAATTTTTTGTATTGCACACCACACACAGGTTTATCAAAAGTTGTGCACGAAATTTTTTCGCATTTGTGTCAAAAAGAATTTATTTTTTTTTCATGCAAAAACGAGAAAAAGAAAAAAAATTGGAATAAAAAAATTAGAAAAATTTAAAAAAAACTTCAAAAAATTATTTTCTCATTTAATGCATTCATAGATTTAACTCGCGATGCTTAAGTTTGAAAAAGTTTTCTATTGAGCATAAAAAATAGCTTTTCAATCGAATATACAGAATGCATTAAATGATAAAGCACTAGCTCTACATATGTTATGCATGTTAAAAAGGATTTCAATGGCGAAACAATGAATTTCATATGCAAACTTTGCAAAAATCCTTTACAACAATGCATTTCATTTAGCTTAAATTCTATGGTACTTTCAAGTGGCAATTTCATAAAAAAAACTTTTGCATTTGCAACTGGCACTACTTTAAGAGATATTGTATGCATACTGCAGCGAAAATATTTTTACAAATTAATTTATAAACTTGAATAGATACACTCTTGAGGAGTGAAATGTTTACAAGTTATTTTTACATGTAATAATATATTTAAATATGAAGGCTTTTGAGCAATAACTATGAGAAACTTGCAGCAAAAGTTAGCATCGCAAAATGATTATTAAATTGCCATTTTAAGTTTCAGCACTTAATTTTAAACTTTTTGGATTTTTATACAAAATTTCTGAGTTTTTGATTCAAATTCTTAATTTTTGGAAAGTTTTTCGAATAAAGGCTATTTCATTATCCTAATTTCTTTTTCTAGAAATTCAAACTACATTTAAATGTGTCCAAAAGTTGAATAAATCCGTAACACGATTCAAATGCTATTCCAAATTAAGTGCTGAAATTATTTAAACCTAATTTTTTAAGGATAAACTAAAGTAAAACAAAATAAATCAACCCAACTAAAGTAAAAACAAAAATATAATCCCAGATAGACTAGAAAAGCATCAAAACGATCATAAATAATTCAATGATTGACTTAAGATGATGTCAATTATTCTCCTGCTTCCATTTTCAAGATCTCAAGTAAATAAAAAATTTAATTAAGTCACAAGTAAAACTTGAGAAACTTCTTGAAGATTTATCATAATAATTTAATTAAATAATGAATTGTTTGTCATCACGATAGGTACATAACATTGATTAAAAGGAATTGTAAAGTAAAAAGTTTATTGTATAAACATTTGAACACTTTACGACAATAGTTTCATAAAGTTTTAATGAACTCGAATATCAAAAAGTTAAATAAAATTTACATGAATGTAAAATGGTTGCAGATTTGTTTGTGAATGTGAGGAAAAAAAAGCTACTCAAGAATGTATGAACAGCCAAGTTTCTAAAAGCTCATCACATATATTTCATCACATTCGAAGACGAAGTGTATAAAGAAAAGTTTTGAATTTCAAACGAGAAACGATAACACATGCAGGATAAAAATGATGCTTTAGCTTTGCAATAAAAAGCACAGCGAATAAAATTTGAATAACAAAATTTTGAAAGAGATACCAAAAAAATTCTTTTGGAATGAAAAATGTCTTTGATTTTAGAAATTCAGCAAGTCTAATAAATATTCTTGATTTATTCCCGTATGAGTATTTCTTACATAAATTATTGGCGTGAATCTATTGAAAATATTTGTTGAAAGCAAAGTAAATCTTGACATAGTTTTTATAGTCATATTAGATGAAAAGGAGCAATGACTCAGCAAATTTTGAGAACTTTAAGTAGTTTTCATCATTTTCAATAAGACATATTTTTGAATAGTTGGAATATCTTTCCTTGCTTAAATAAAATAGATTTTTTATAAATACTGGCTCAAATAAACAAGCCAATGATCTCATTTAAACTACAATAGTAAAAGGCTTGCAAAATTTCTTTAAATCTTAAAACAAAAATCACAATTCATTCCAAAAATTCGCAAACTACTTGAAAAATTTGTGAAAAATTGCAAATGAAATTCTTAATTCTTTTGTTCAATTCTCCATTTTTGAGAGATTTTTTTGCAACGAACAGAAAGAACACAAAAAAAAATTATTCCTTCCGTTTGAATGGAGTGAAAAAAATTTCGGGTAGAAAAGATTGAAGTGATTTGCACTTACTATAAGTTACGATAAAACCTGAATATTCAAAAAAGTAGAAGAAAGAAAAAATAGAAAAATTTTGTTGATGATTTTTCCGAATTGTTGAGAGTTAAAAATCATAAATAGAGAAGAAGTCAAAACATGATGCATGATTATAGAAGAAAAAAAAAATTAAAAAGTTCCCCACCCAAAATATTTTTTTAAGAGAAAAATTATAAATTAATTAATTAGGATATCAAAGGGTCAATCAGTTCTAAAACTTTAAAACAAACCTTCATTATTAGCGTAATCTAAAGGTAATGGCAAATGATTACTAGTTTTCTTATCCAAATCATCTTGATTTTTCGTACGTAGGACGAGCACGGTGGCGACAATGGCAAGGACGACTATGAATACAATCAATACTGTTGCACCTGCTACCAAACGATTCTGCATTGATGACTCGTTGAATACTAAAATGAAAAGATGAAGAGGGGATGAATTTATTAGGAGGGTTTGAGATGAAAATGTTTGTAGAAGAAAGTTGTGTTCTTGTGGAATTTTTGTCAGATTTTAGAATTTTTGTTTGAATGCTAATTCGCTTTATAAAGGAGGAACTTTAAGGGGTCGTTCACTTATGACGTCCGAAATTAACGGTCATTTTTCAAAAAAGAACAATGGATTTCCTGGAATTTCTATTGTTCTTTTCTTACTGACCCCCCCACCCCCTGGACATCATAAGTGAACGGCCCCTAACCTCCAATGTAACCAAGCTTTCACTATCTTTATCTTATAAAATAGATCAATAAGCTCCAAATCTAGCTTTTTAACCAAATTAATCAATTTGTTCTTAATAGCTCTCAAATTTCCTAAAAGAAACCAAATTTCATCATTTCAAATCCAATTCTGACGTAAATTCCACGAAACACACTCGCAAGGGCATCAGACGAAATAGATATAGCACGAGAAATTGTATTGAGCCAATTTTATCTGTCTATCCATTTATCTTGATAGAAATAATCTAGGGATTTGTTGAACATTCACATTTAGAGCACATTTGGTTATTTTCTTCTTGAACTTTTTTTATTTGGATGAAATATATTTATTGACTGAAAAGAAGACCTAATTGAGTTTCAGATGTTACAAGTAATTGACTGATAATGTGGAATAGCAATGTTATTTTTAAAAGTTTACAAGACTTCATTATCATTGTTTAAAAACTTTTCATCCAATACATTAAAAGTCAAGGAATTGAAAATGATTTCCTTTGAGATAAATACAGCAAGTTCCGATCTCAAAAGGCTGCTAAATCTTCAAAGTAATTTTCAAATTTTTCCCTCATGTCATGTTCAAAAGTTTTGTGAAGCCGTAAATCCTTTATATGACTAAGATACCTTTCCAATCTTAAAACAAATCACTTTTTGTGAATGTAGACAGTAAATGCAGGACATTGGCTTTTAGAAGATAGCAGCTCACAAGATAATAGATGACTTCTGTCATTTTTGGGGCCTCCACTCAATTTATGAGATCAAAAGGACTTGAATATTGATCTATTTATCCTCCCCATCACTCATTTTGGCTCAACACCAATTTCTCAATGAGAAATAATTTTCTTCTTAATATTTCCAATTTTACGAGCCAATGACTTAAAAAGTCAATGACATAAACAACATAAAAAAGGAAAAAAGAGACAATGTCATACTTACCGGGTGTGATACTCTGAAGAGTTTGAGCATATACAATGTTGCTATATGTTCCCCATCCATTTGATGTCTTGCATCGTATTTGAAAGCCATATTCTGTATTCTCAGTGAGATCTGTGATGAGTATTTTTGTATCCTTTGTACTTTGCGTCGTCTTGTTTATCGAATCGACTTCCGACTTTGGGAACCAACGAACTTCATAAAATTCGATTGGAGAGTCACTGTGCAAAGGATTATCCCATGACAATTCAACCTCTTTGCTCGTTATTGTTGTCACTTTAACATTAAATACAGTACTCAATATCGTCGATTCCGTTGTGAATGTAATTTCTGCATACTCGCTCTTTACATCCATACCATATGAATTTCCACGCTTCATTGGACTTTCCGTACCATCAGTGCCCGATGAAAAGCTATGATTGTATCCGCCCATAAGTGAGTAAGATGGTCCATTGAGTGAATGTATTTGTACAACATATTGTGTGCCAGGCTCAAGATTTGTCATTGTCAATTTTGTTTCATTAAACACATCACTTGATGGATTAAAAACAACGTTGTTTGAACATGACTGGCATTTGACTCTAAATGAAACATCGTTACGGAATTGTTGGTCAATTAAGTGATCATCAATTGACTTTTGTGGTGGATCCCATGATAAGATTGCACTAGTTTGATCAAAAAATAACACCGTGAGATTTGTTGGCTTTGCAGGTGGTTTATGGCATGGCATATGGTTGCCATCAAGTGGATGTCGATAATGTCCATTTATGCATGTACAAAAGCTTGAACCGGCTTTGTTTGTTTTCGAATTCATTGGACATAATGTACATATTGCAACTTCATTCGAACGGAATGTTCCGGCAGGACAAACTATTGAACGAGAATAAATTTAAAAAAATATGTTTTTTTAGTAAAATAAATATTTTTAGGAAAAAAAAGTTTCATTCACCTTTGCACAATTGCTTCTCCTCATCCGGTTCATATCCGACTTTACATTTACATCCTCCCAACATTAAGGACCATTTTCCACTGCCTGTACAGTGATTATATGGCGTTTCAATCGGCTCTGCGTTATCAACACAAGTCCCCTGTTGCTTTTCAATGGATGTTACTTCCTTTCCTGTCGGAGTCTCGTTGAAATGTGCAAAATTTGCAGTGACGGCAGGACATGTTATGTAGTAGACTTTAACAGCCAGTACACTGATGCACGCACCTTGATCACGGAATGCAAAGTAGACGCCTTTCTTAGCTACCGCAATGCTCTTTGTCTCAACATTGATGTCAACATCAGAATTATGATTAAATCTCCCTTCACCAGCTGCTATTCGACCGATTAGCTTGTAACTTTCTGGTTGCCATGGTGGTGGTTCTCGTGTTTGTGCATCGAATTCATAAAACAAAAGACTAAATGTCTCCTTACAGCTAAGTGCATTGCCCGGAAAAAGTGAACAATCACGTATTGTAAAATGAATTTCGATGTATAGTCGATTGGCAGGACCACGATCAATGAACGGCGACCATAACCAATTGTTAACATCTGGATATGCTACATCACACACCACATAACTTCTCCAGTTAATACCCTTTCCGTAATTTGTAAATGACTCCTCTATCCACTGTTGATGATGATGATATTTTTTGGCATTGTATTGCAATACGTGTATGATATCATTGTGTAGGTGTGTGGATTTTTCGGGATATCAAACGTTGAGCATGAGTGAGAGAAAATGAAAGAAAGTGAACGTGATAAGAAAGGAGAAGATGAAAATGTAGAAGCACAAAAAAGGATTTTGCTTCTCTTCTTTTTTTTTGCTTTTTCGCTCTTTATAGTTTGATGGGGTTGAATAACATTTAGTGAAGTAGGTAAGTGGTGTGAATTCTTCATAAATGATGTCATTGACTTTTTACCATCAAGCTTAACCAAACATAATTGCGCATATTGTAAACTTATTGCTGTGGGATGTAATGGATGGATTTTATGTTGAAGTGTTTGACTTTTTTGTGAATGCAGCATTGTTGATGTGGGTAGGAACCGAGATTATTCAAAATCTGAGCAAGAAATGTCTCAGCACAGCTATATAAGAATCCAGACAATTTTTATTTTTTATAGCCTAGACATCTAGACGTTAGCTAAGCTAAATATTATTTGGACTAGCTATGCAATGAAACCAAGTGTCAAAAGTCGTTTAAAGCATAAGCATAGTCAGTTTGACCATGATTCTAAATGAAATTTGTTGTATTAAAATGGCTGCAAACAACACTGAAATTAAAAGCGTTGATTTCATTTTTATAAAGTGCTGGAAGTTTTGAGACTGCCATTGTTAAATTATGCAGTTTACAATTTTTTTTTGTGGAGCTTTTGAGTGTTTGCAGATTTCTTTCGTGAGATATTTAGAAGGATGTAAATTACTCCTGAACAGTTATGTGGGTTTAAGACCCTTTTCATTCAGAGAATCACGAGAAATCTTTCGTAGCTAATCTGCACCAAAGTTTATTATTTTTCTGTTTTAAGAACTTATCAGCATCATGATGTATCAGAATGAGAAATGCTCTCATCAACCTGAAAAGTCAATGACATTATTCATAAAACCACCCTCTCCATACTCGTCTCATACATATTATGGAAATTACTCAACATCAAGTATTTTGGCGAAATGAAGAAAATAATATTTTAGGATGAAAAGGCAAAAAAGAAGTTTGTTTGTGTACGACGGATGTAAAAGATGAAGGTTGATGCAAGGACAAACTTACGCCTGGTCGTTGTGCTTGTGGTCCATATGGATAACTCGTCCATTCTAATGTTGCTTCTTTGGTGGTATCCAGTAGAACAACTAAAAAGAAATTCATAGAAAAATAAATTGTGTGAAAAATTATTTTCGAGGGGTTTGCCGACAAAAGGACAGTAATGATTGTTAAAATTATAATTATAGATGTACAGTAGGAAAAAATATGTTTGAAGGGAGACATAAATTGATGTTAATGAGCGTTATGCACTTTTATCATTCAAACATCTCTCCTGTCTTCACTGAATAGAATAATTTCTTCTTCATGTTCAGGTGGAAGCAACACAAAAAATTATATTTTTCATCATTTGTCTTCTTCTTCCTTTTTTCATTCTTCTTAATTTCGTCTACCGAAAAATAAAAGTTTTTTTTTATATTTTCTCTCTCTTTCTGTATTTTTTTGTGTCTCGTTTTTACCCGAAAAAAAAACTCATCATCTCTTCCATTCTCTGCTCAATGCGTGACAAATATAAAGTGGATATATGTATCATCTACATCAATGGGATTTTTTGGTGAGATGGATGATGATATAGAATATAGCAGGTACGAAAATTATTTTGTATGAATTCGAAAGGTTATTGTGGTGCATTTTTGATGCACAGATGTGTTTTTGAATAAGTTTGAATTGAGAATTTCGGAATGTGGTTCTGAGATGCTTAGCGCTCTCAGATAGATTTAAATAATTTTCTAAGACAATGGTTCTTGAAAAATGAATGCAGACCTCCTTGAAAAATAGGACTGCAATGTGCTACTCGGGATAAAGTATGCAAATTAAATTTTTTAGTTCAATGAAATGATTGAGGGTGGATAACTTCTGTTTCACTCTTTGAAGTTCTTCAGAATTTCCCATAGGAATATTTTTGCACTAAATAAATCCCTAGAGATCACTCACTTATGACAGCTTGCATTTATGGGATGTGGAGGTCTGAACTTTGCATTCCAATTGTTTTTGGAACTATATTATTTTATGAAGTCGTTAAAATAATTTGTGGTTATTATTATTATTTTATAAAATCATTTAATCCAAACGCCAGTCATCAAGACAAACTAGAACCAAAAGCTACATCACTCTAATAGAAACAAGCACCATCAATAAGCAAGAGGAGAAAGAAGAAGTAGAAAGAAAGTAAAAAATAAGGTGAATAACAAAATTTTTTTTGACTGCCTCACATTTGCTTTATATTCTCGTTCAATGTCACTGTTGTTGTAAATGCAATGTATGTGTAGACGTACGATATCAGGGGTTATTTTAGAAAACTGCAGTCAAGTGTGAAGGGGTCAAATGGAATGAACAGAATGAAAATTAGATTTCTCATCGTTTTTGAACGACAAAAAGTCAATCTTGACACGGGAGATGTGTATATGTATGTATCGTTAAGTGAATCAAATTAAAAATTAATGAAAAAACAATTTGACACGCAAAAAATATTTTCAGATGTTTTTGCAGAAAAATTTCTAAACAAAAGAAGGAACAAAAAAAAATAATGGAAAAAGTTTAATGAGATTGTCTATGAACGAAAATTTAAAATTTTCTGTGTATATTAATTAAAAATTTACTTAAAATTCATGCATAAATATTCTTATTATAACACTCGTGGATTGCTAATTTCGTTTTAAAACTTTTAATGCTATTCCTTTAAAGTGAATAAATTTAAGAATTTTCATCTCACTTTCATCGACTCTTTAATTTTCCTTTAGCTGAGTTATAAGCTTTCTCTGAAATTATTGAAAATTGATATTGGTTCGTCGACACAACGAGATAACAGAGAAGAATTTGATGAAAACAAGAATAATTTTTCATTGTGGATAGATGCTTTGATGAGTTTGAAAACTTTAAGGGTTTTTGATTTTTAAAGAGCTTAATTTTAGAAAATTACTGCTTATTCATCTTAATTTGAGAAACTAGCTTTATGTAAACCCAAATTTGTCAACAGGGGTCAACAGTTTAACTCCCTTTCTGAACCAATTATTTCAAATCTTGACAAATTGTCTTTAAAATTTATTCAAAATAGACAAATCAAAAGATGTTGAAATTAACAATTGCCTTCATTATTCACGAAAAACTTTATTAACATCACTATGCGCTCTTCATAGTGTGAATCTCGTTTCATTCTTTGTTATAAATTATTCTCATTTTCTCTCTTTCTCTTATCAATGAAACTTGATTAACATTGAAGCTTACAATCTGTTAACTCTGAAGGTAAAAGGTCTTGAAGTTATTGAATCGATTTATTTTATTTTTTTGAAAACACGAAAAAGTTTTTGGTAATTAATTACTTCAAAGTTATAATTAAATTTTAATTAATTGCTCTTAACATGATTGATTTTTGAGAAAGATTTCAATTGTTTTAACTTATTTTTTTTTTTATTCTATGCTGTTCACCTCACCTTAAGACATTACGTCATTTTATACCGACTCCTTAACAAACTTATTAAAATGTTAAAACTATGCATTTTTAAGGTTTAGATAGTTTAAAGCTTTTAAATTTGATAATTTTGTAAACTTTAACCAGCAATCATAATGATCATTTCACTAAATACAAACCACTTCAATTTGCATAAATCTAGAAATTACGAATATTTTCACAAAATGATTCTAAAAGTTAATCAGTTTATCGCCCTTCAAAAGCTACCATTTGAACCACTGAAAATAATTAGTGAACCATTAAACGAAATGCATTATTGATGTGAAGTACTGCAAACTGAATTTTGCGTAGCTAAATTCAGTTATGCTTAAGCATAAATCAACATAATAATTATCACCTCTTATCAAAATCAATTGATTTTTTAATGATGTTCAGAAGTGTGTGATTTAACAAAATTAAATGTTTTCATACATAAACTAGACTTGTTGTACGTCAAGTGTAGGATAGTGTCGTTATTATGTCAACAAAGTTGCAGTTTGTGAACATGAAAATTAATTTTGTGGTTTAAAAGACAGACTGATCATCTTGAGGATTGGCATGATTATTAAGTAGGTTGGCCAATTTTCTACAGAAGCATTAATTTATTAGTAGTCTGGGAGTTCTGATGTTTTAAAGTTGATGAAGTTAAAGGATGACAGACCACAAAAATTATATTATTATAAATAATTGTAAAAACATTTATGTGTGAGCTGAAGTGGCTCGGTGGCGGAATGGTTTAGTACTTCGGTGCCTAATTATTGCAATACCGACACAGCGATCATGGGTTCGAGACTGGGTATGGGAAATTTTTCACTTGTTCTTTTTCGAATCATATGTACTGGAAATGAGGCTCACAGCCTTCCTTTGTAGGCTACAGACAGAAATGTCATCAAAGGAGTGGTTCGGATCCCACTATAAATTGTAGGTCTAGGTTTGAGTGCAGTGGTTTGGCGCATCCTCACTCGTTAAACTCTCATTAGCTGCGAATCGCCCTAGCGCACCTCTGGATCACAATTGATCTGAATAGGTAAAGGTTTTTTTTTTTTTTTTTTTTTTTTTTTTTTTTTTTTTTTTTTTTTTGTAAAAACATTTAATAATTAATTATCGATTACCATGGATGAAAAAACTTTACATTCCATTATATAATTTATAAATAAAACCACAACATGTTAACATTTTGCAATTTTCATTTTCATGCCATGAGATGAATCATTACTGAAAGCATTAGTGCTTATAATAATCCACAAGACTCTGTAATTTCTGCTAGTTGCTTTTAAATGAAATGATTTTTTTAAGCTTCTTACTTTTTTCAGTGTTCAAGATGATTTCTTTTCTTTTAAAGACAAAGGCAGTGACTCATTGATAGCTCGGGAATAGTGAGCACTCAAAATAATTGGACTGAATGGATGGATGATTTTAGATTAATTAATGACAAGCTCAAAGCATGAGAAAATTGTCTTAAAATAATGAATTTTTTAGTTTGACAAATTTCTGTGTTCAGCAACAAATTAGTTTTAGTTTATTCGGACAATGAGCATGCAGAAAAAATCTCATTAAGTCTCCTTTTGTTGAGGATCGTTTACAAGTGACATCCACTAGTCTAGATCTTTGATGATTCTATAAATATTGTTTTTATATATAAAGTGACAATGGCAGAAAAAGTAGGTCTGAAAATTGTAAAGTATTGAAGACGTCAATCATGAACGACCCCAATGAAGAAGCTCATTCTACAAAATTGTTATTGTGCTGTATTACATTACATATTCTCACACTGCAGGAATATCTAAATTTTCAATTTGATGCTTTCAGACTGCTTAAAGATTAAAACAATACAAGAAAGATTATGGCAATACAGATGAGATTAAGGCAATAAAAGAGAGACTGCACTTTGATATTCTCTCCAGTATTGGAAAAGTTTTAAATGCCATAGAGTCGATTGATGTTTCAGCGCTTTTTTATAGTCAATAATAACTGAACTTATCACTTAATTTAGCCATGCAGCCATTGAAAAGCAAACTATCAATTTTTTTATTGTTATAACTAAATTGACTTTCGATTTAATCCACAATTTACATCACTCATAACCGTCTACTTATGATAATTTCATTTAATTTGCAAAACAGTAAAAAGTTTCTTCTTGCCACACATAAGAACGGTCTTTGTGGTGGTTCCTTAAATTACGGAAATCATTACTACTGTTCAGTTGCGTAAATTTCCGTAAAGAATTAATTTTAGCAAAACCTGAAACAAAACTAATCATACTTAGTAGCTTGTTAATCACATCATGTGATTATGGTAATAATAGCAAGTTGATTAAAGATTAACAAGATTTTGAAGCAATGTCAAGACGTAAATGGAAAGAGATTATGATGCTCTTAAGAGGTTATTTATCAGTCTGTTGGGATGTCTAGTTTTGATGTTTATGCAAATGGATTAAGAAGCTATAGACTATTTTATGATGTTGTTTTGAGGGTATGTAGTTAGATGAATTGCCGAAAAATTTGACTCTCATACCACAATCATTAATTTTGAAGGCCTCATATAGTTTATTGAATCATTTGAAATTTTAAGCCTGATCCAAGGACTTTTGAAATGTTTTGTGGTAGATAAGTTCATTGTATGATTTTTACTGATTTGAATTTGAAATGTTTTGTGGATCGAAGTTCTTAATTAGTGTATCAATCATCTTTGTTGAAGAGAAAGAAGAGCAAATTATAATCTTAAGGGATTAGGAGAGTTAAGCACGAAGACTTAATGGTATAGCAGAGATATAGTAATCAATTTTACATTTTCAAAGTACTGACTCTGTAATCAAGAGACTGGATAGCTAGCAAAATGAAATTTGAATGTCTTTTCGTTTGTTTTTGAAATCAATTTAATTTTAATGATACTGAAACTTTGCAATCTATTCACCTGGTATTCAATTATCATGTCCGATAATGTCATGTTATTTTCAATACAGAAGCTTTTGAGTCCTTGTATGTCAACATCATTAGAAGGAATTTTAATTAGTATGATCTCATTTGAATGTCATGCATTTACATCTAAGGAATATGTAATTTTGGATTTTATCGTCAATCAAACGATTGAACTACATACTTAGTCATTACCGATGCATCTTTTATCATCGAGCATTGTATTGGCAAAATAGCTTTGGTATTAAAGATTTATGATTGACTCACTGACTGTGAACCTGTCTGATTGACAGTTTTAGACACATTCTAGACTTTTGGTAACATCAACAAATATTCGATAGTTGCAATCTAAATCAAATCCGAGCTTAAATTCTGAATTGTTTTTTAATTCAATTGAACATCAATAAAAATCATTTTTATGTTAAAAAGATTGACAAAAGTTTTTACACAGCAGAAAATCATGAAGAATGCTCATAAAAGACGTAGAGTTGTGGATTACAGATTCAAGTAAATTATTACTCAACAAACTTTTCCAGCATCCAATTTTCTTCTTTACCAATATTTTTTGCGCAAATTTTACTTTAGAAAAACTTTTTCCTTTTATCCTAATAAAAAATAATCTTTCCTTCTTTTTACATCTGTCCAATAAAAATCAAATCAACAAAACAATGCATTTAAAAAAATTTCCTTCCACAAAAATTGTTGCTTCTTCAAATACCTTTTGGTATTGTTTAAAATTGTCGGAATTGTTTAGAATAAAAATTTTTGAAATTTTTATGAGAAAAAATTCCTTTTATGAAGCCAAAAAGCTATTCACGTGGAAGTAATATGTCACATACATCACTGCTAAATGATGCGCACAAACCCAAAAAGGACACCCTTAAATACATATTTTTTTGTGTTTCTTCTATAGACACATTATTTCATAAAAGTTGGAAAAAAATAAAAATCAAAAAATTGCATCCATCCAAAGGCCAACAATAATCAACAATGGCTGTGTATTGTAAAGAGATGAATGTGGAATAAAGAAGAAGAAAATGATGAATGGAGATGCATTATAATGGGAAAGTGTCCCTTTTTGTGTGTCTCTCTTCCCTCACATAACCGAAATGTATCCATATTGTATTATGCTGTGCGAATCCTTACCTTGATCACAATTACAATTATCCGTAGTTAGTGTGATAATCAATAGAAATGCAATTGGCGAAATAAAAAACAACTTTTTAGTTCTTTTGATGGACATTTTCATAATTTTTTTTTTCTTTCTTATTTTCTTCTTCGTTTTGCTTTAATCTCCGTGTCTATATATATTCATATACACTCACAGATCACAACAAAAAAATATTCTATAAATTTACTCTTTTTTTCTTTTTAATAAAATACACACTTAGCTCGATATTTTGCACTTTTTGTTGATTTTTTAATGAATTGCTTATCAATTTTTTTTACTTATTTTGCCTCTTTTTTGAGAATATTTCACATTAAAAGTCCCAAAAAATATAATTTTTTTATGAATTCCATTAAATAAAATTGTTCAATGGATTTTCATCTTTCTTTCGAACCATCATTTTTATGTTTCACTTTTTTATGCATCAAATTCAATAGATTGGATGTTAAATTTGATACAATCCTATTCTAAAATGGCTTATGTTGATGATTAAAGTATTTTGATTCTATTAAAAGCCATTTTTAACTTAACTTTATTCATTTTTCATTTATTTTACGAGAAGTGAGTGCAATAAGTACCACGGGAAATTTCACGGGTTATTAACACTCACACAGATGATGAGCATTTAGTATGCGTGTGTTAGTAGATTTTGTATACAAACGGCTGAATATGTTGACAACAAAAATATCACGGGAGTGAAGCTATGCTGTGTTTATACAATTTTATGACTGTTGAGCTGAATACAGGATTTTTTACAGGCTTGCTCAAATTAAGTAAATTTGGTGGAGTTTGTTCTGTAAATTAGGAATGAAATGCGAATTCATAAAGATTCGTATTGAGACTTTAAGGGTTTTGTGATCAAGTTTTGGAATATTTTATAATTATAAAAATTTCCCTTGTTCAGCACTTTGAGTTTATTTTGACTGTTACAATACGTTAAGTTTCTAAACATTTATGGCTCTTATGAAAATCAAATCAAGTGATTATATGCATGTGGAAGCTGCTATGCTATCTCTCAATGGTTTTTTCCAGAGCTACAAAAAAAAAACACTTTTAATTTCAAGCTTGTTCATCTAAACATTAAAAAGTATTAATTCTTGTTGGATGTTTAGGTTTTTCAAATTTATTTAAAGTTTCCCTGATTTTTATCGCATCGGGTTCTCCTTAAACTTCTCCTGTCTCGTAGACAGCTTTCATCAGCAATATTCTGTAAACAAGTTTATTTATCATATTACCGATATCAATTTATTATAAACTGATAAAAGATCAAAATCAAAACATTTGGTCAGAAATTAAAAACTTCATTTTAACCAATTACAAAAACTACACTCAAAATATTAAACATCCTGATTAGAGCATTTTCTCAGTTGCGATCGTATTTCTGAAAATTTATTATTACCAAATTTATGTCAAGGTTCCAACAATTTCCTTCTTCTTTCCTTTTTTATTTAAAATATCCTTTTTAAATGTCCACAACCAGCAACAATAAAAATTACAGCAATTTTATTCAGTCAATTTGAATAATTCAAGTTCACAGAATAATTGGTGGTCGTTAATCAACTTAACATTAATTTTTTGTTGCTGCAATGTTCTATTATCCTTTCAAATTATTTCTAATGCCATGCCTGTTGAATATTTCATATCTATTTGTTATTGGATTATTTTTCTCTCATTGCATTGACCCACAATTGTTATATGAAGCTCTTCTGCCCTTCTCGATTAAGGATTTTGAAAATTTTATGAGATAAGCGGAGGAATGAAAAAGTTCTAGAGAAGTAATAATAGAATCTAGAGCGCATTTTATGAAGTTTTTGTTTTAAATGATGTGAAATATATTTCCCAATACAATGGGATCCTAGGAAATTTTGAAGTTAAACGGGTTAGCTGAGCTTTACTCAGTATATATTTAAACATTTCAGCAGAATGACTGTACGCTATATAAATATTCAACATTTGATATAAAAATACCAGTCCTGAAATGATTGGACCCCATTGAAAAAATATTCAAAATCTGATATAACTGGTGTATTGGATAGAAGCCCAATGCGGATTTGTTCACACCATACCATGGATAATTTAGTGGATAGACCAAGTTCTGCTCAGCATTAGTTTAAAAGTTTAAAGTTTGGCGGGTTAGATGAGCTTCGCTCAGCATATATCGAAAGTGTGAAAGATGGGTATTTTCAGGTACAAACTTTTACATATCACAGAAAATCAAAATTAAAATTGTTCAGCTGCATTCTCGAAAACACTAAATTCACCCAATTTGAAAATTAGGCTCAAAACTATAAAAATGCAACAATGTCTAACGATAGTCACCGATTTTGATACTCAGTTTAAAATCCTTCAACTACAAGTAGTGATTGTGTCTTTATGTCATTAGAACTTGAAATAAAACAGTCCAATTGCATTTTTATTGAAATTACAATTCCTTTCAAGTCTATGCTACATAGTCTAGCAACAAATAAGTTTATTCTAAAGCAATATATTTCATCGACATGTAAATAATTCGATGATTAATAAATCATTATCCTCTTGTGAGCCACATGATAGATTTTTATTTTCTCATCACGCGACAGACATTTAGCGATTATGTGAATGTTAATCAAATATTCATAAATGACAATGACACCATTAAGTCTTTTTTAAAAATGTATCTCATGTCTTACTTGCTTGATTTTCCTTATCGTTTACACAACTATCATAAGCCTATCGATTTCCGTGGTTGTATACATGTGTCGCGATAGAAATAGAAAAATTTTGAACTAAAGGAAACTCGTGGAGATGGTGGGAGTTATATTGGCTGACGGAGCTCAGTCATTGTTAGTAGTCCGCTTCATTTACATTCAAGCTGTTTTATTAGAATTCCAAAATAATAAAAAAAATCAATTGAAAGGACTTTAGTTGTTTCGTGAACGCGGTTTAATGCAGTAGTGCCTTAAATAACTTTGAACACTCTGTACAGAGGAAAAAGGATATTTTTTTCAAGTGACTAGCTTTGAATAGCTTTTTGCTTAAATTTTTAAAAGGTTTTTTGATTTTATTGATTTTCTAAATGAATTTTTGAGGAGATTTTGGTTTGGTTTAATGGAAAATTAAATGCTGGTCTAGGATAACTTGTTTGATTATTGACTAAAGTCAATTTGTTTTTGAAAATCTGTTTTATAAAAAAATTGAATGAAGAATTGGAAGCTTGACCATGGTTTAGTGGTTCGTATTTTTTAATAATCCTTTTAGTCAATCCATATCTGAATGAGTAAACTGTAATAAACTTGACCAATATCCTTCGAAGTATCTATCAAAAGTTCAAGGAAAGCATTTAATTTTCTATGAAAAATTAAGTCCACGACAGGGTCACAAAACTAATTCCATTTACTTGAAAAAGGTATTCAAATATTTACATAACATTGTTATTAATTATTGACAAGGGCACGTAAATAAATTATCAACAAAATAATTATCAATAGAGTAAAAGAGCTTTCGCAACGAATATTTTGTTAATGACTGTGATAACAAAAGTTTAATAACTCAAGTGCAAAACGCTTCTGGCAATTAAACAAAGAAATATTTTTGAAGTTTACGGGATATTATAAAATTAATTCTACAATACATTATTAGTTGATGTTATAGTGTTGAAGTATAAGGAACAAAAAATAAATTTAAATCAACAATTATTGACATTTAAGGACCCATATTAAAGAGCTGAGTTGCCACTCTTAAATAAAAAAATAGTGTGCCTTAACAACTATATACCGAGTGTACAAAAAATAAAAGAATCTCTGAATAAAATTTGAAATTTACATTGAAAATTCTGCTAAATTGCAAAACTACATTTAAAAAGTTCAAACAAGCTAGTCAAAAAAAATTGAATATAAAAATGTTAAAATTCATTCTCACTACCATCACAATTTTACATCTAACTCATGCCTTTCCATCCGACATGCCAACAATAATTCAAAAATCAACCGACGAGTTATCGACCAGTAATGATCCAATTACAACAATCCCATCAATCTTGTCCACTGATGTTGAAAATAGCTCATTCAGCACAATGGACACAAAATTTAGTGAAATGGATAAAAATCTGGCGTCAAATACGATAGCATCCTACGAGACCACTATGGCTGAGTCTAATAATATTGAAAAAATGCCAACGACTACAATAGACACAAAAATTAGTGAAATAAATTCACCCACAATGGATAAAATGATTTCGACTAATACAATGACTGATTCTGAAGGTACCGGCATGAGCACAAACGAAATGTCAATGAGTATGAAAGACAGCACTGCTGATACAACAAATTCGATGACTCAAAGCACATCAAATTCTATAGAAAGTTCTTTATCATCCGCTGTCGCTATGAACATGATTGCTACAAAAGGCATGATGACAACATCGCCGGATGTAGATGTAATGGATACAACAAGTAATCTCAAACGAGAGCAGCTGAATGAAGCAGAAATGACAACAATAATGGAATCGATGGGAAATCCAATGACAACAGAAAAAATTATGGAAAAATCGCAAGAAATCTCACAAACGGAACCACCAAGTGAGTTGGCAAATGCTGAAGCTACAACAATGAAACCAGCAATGGCTGTTGAATCTTCAATGACGCCAGAAATGACAATGAAGCCTGTCATGACAGAAGAAGTAACAAAGAAAATTGCTATGTTAGAGGAAACGACAATGATGACTGAGCCAAAGACGATGATGGCATCAACCACACTAAAGCCAGAGCGACCAGGAACAGCTAAACCTCTAACAGCAACAATGATGCCGATGGATACAACCACAAAGATGAAGAATGATGGAAATTTGCTGAAGTTTTGTTCTTTAATAATGTTCACAGTTTCTTCAATTTTGGTCATGCTTATGTCATAGACTTAGTCGAATTAAACTAAAAGATTAGTTTAAATGCTTATTTTACTTAAGTTGTTAAGAGCATAAATGACGTCAGACATTAGTTGCGAATTCCACTTTAGATTTAAATTAAAATGTTCACATCTACCTTAAATTAATTGTAGTGCAATCATTCAATTAAATGTATGCAATCATGCTAAATTAAACACAATAATTTTTATTCATGAAATGTGTCATTTAAATATTTAATTTGCACTTATGGCTTTAAATAGGGCAATAATAACATAAAAATAAGAGTGAAGAAGAATTGAGTCAAAAAGTAAATATTTCCCTTTATATTGTTCCATGTAATTTGTACAACTTGCATGTATTTTGATTGATAAGAGAGTAACTAGGGAGAGGAGATAGACACGAAGCTAGAATTATTTTTAGAACCAATGTATGCTTTTCCTATGTGTCAAATTGCATGCATTTTTTAGTTCAACAAACAGCTTTTTGTATCGAAACGGAAAGTCTCAAATGAGCATTGACTTCAACGGCACCGATGAACGATAAAAGGAGGTCGAGTTTGATGAAAAAGGAAAAGTATTATTCATATAAATGATGTTATGGCATGTGTTACAATAAAGATAATCGACATGATACCAAAAAAATTGTCTATATTATTACATTGATACAACTTTTTATTTTGATTCATGAGTCATCATAACTTTTTGTTGTGAATATCTGATGATTGTATCAGCTTTAATTCGTTATTTATTGTAGGAATTCTCGTTAACAATACTGTTTTCATGCCACTGTTCATTGACCACAGAAAAAAGTTTAATAGAACCAACAAGAATTTTTTTGTCATTCGTTCAATAAAATTTGGTAAAAATATTTTTAAAATTTTAATAAAGTGTTTTATTTGGTTGTGGATGGATTGTGGACAATCTTGATTGTTGAAAAATCAAAGTTTTGTTTCAGAATTAATAAAAAAAATTGGGCATCAATTCTTCTCTTAAGTTAAAGCTTATAAAAATTTTAAAATGCTTTATTTCATGATTTTCACACTTATATCAACATTAAATCTATTACGAGTAGAAAGTCACATAGTTCTTTCAATTTCTGAAATAAATCCAGAAACTGATAATTTTAAATTTAATGAATTTATCGATAATCCAGATAAAAGTCAAGCCAACAACTTTGAACCTCATCATAACGAAACATCTGATGATTTAGGTAAAATTTGAATCATACGGTTCTAGCGCCAATCCTAGATTTAAACTACTAGAAAAGATAATTATTTTTATTCCAGAAAATCCTCAAGAAACATCCTCACCAACTATTGTTACCACTCATGATGAATTCACAGTTATTCATGTTGCAGAACATCACAAAAAAGAACCATCAAGAATAAAAGATTTTCCATTATCAGAATTCCACAAAGAAGAATCATCAACAGTTCCATCAGAAAATGACCATCAAAAAGCAACAGCTGAATCTACATCAACTTTTCTCGAAAGTGAAAAAGCTATTGAAACTGAGACAATGAAAACCGAGCGAGAATCAACAGCTCGAGAACAAATAGGAAAAATTTCAACTGCAAAAAATTCAGAACAAATAAAAATCAACCAAACCGAAACTTTTCCAACTATTGTCTCGACAACAAATAAAACATCATCAACAATAAAACCAAAGCCCACACCATCAAATGCGACATCCTTAAAAATAAGTTTTATAATATTTTTGATGGCATTTTATGCCTGCTGTTTGTAAGTCGATGAAAATATTTTGGCGCATCTGTACAACTTTATTTTTATTATCGTCAAAAATTCTACTTTTTATTGTCCTAGACAAAATTTTCACACCCTCAAAAAAGATAAAGCTACCTACTTATTAATTTTCATATTTATTGGTCATGTCAGTCAGTCTGAACCGACTATTTTTAGATCTGTATAGTATAAGCAAAATAAAGTCAGTCTAAAAAGAGAAGAAATGTTTGTTGTCTAATGATTATTGTCATATAAGTAACATCATCGAATGTACATAAAGATGAAAATTGATATTATTGAATGAATGAGTAAGTAAACAGAGAGTATGAGAGACTTAGCATGTAGAAGTTAATTGAGAATGAAAATAATTTTTTTTTCGATTTAATTTCCTTAAGAACCAAGTTGATTCAAAAGGATTAAGATCCTGTTTTAGATTTAAAATTGTTAACTACCCAAAAATGTATTTAATGTTTTTATCAACAAACAACCCCCTTTGAATAATTATAACCCTTAAAAAATATAACTGTCAATAAAATTCACAAATCTTATCAAACACAAAAACGCTCAAAAAACTTTCAGGTACAAAATCCTTTACAAATCAATCTATTCCAATAGAAACCTCTATAAAATAATCACAAAAATCTCTAAAACGATTGATTAATACAAGGATTTGGTGATCAACTTTAAAGACATCATTAACTTTCCAGCCCCTTTTTACACACTGAAAAACTAAGCAATAATCATTGACTCTCACAAATACTTAATTTAATCTCTCGTTCATCATTATCATCAGAAAGAGTAAGAAGGAAAGAAATAGAAACAAAAAAAAATATATAATGCCATTAGAGCAAATCAAAAGCTGACAGTTTAGAAGATAAATTCATCGAATTAAGACGTAATTTGAAAATTTTTGCTTTAAGAAAGTCCTAAATGAAAGTTTTAAGGAAATTTCTTTAGTGTGGATGAGATTTAAAAGTGTACATTGAAGTGATAATGATAGATCTCGATCAAAGCAAAATTGTCAAGTGAATTGTGACTTTAAAAGGACATCAAAGTACCGCTGAAAATTTATTGAAATAATTTATAACAATACTAGACTACAAAATAGTCAGAATGCCAACAGAAAAGACACCGTTGTTGATAAAATCATTGAGAGATGAAGTCGTTGTTAAAATTTCGGATGAGAACAACAAGTAAGTATTCAAAGTTGATAGATACTGTCGTGAGAGTTTTTCTATGAATAATCTAGGTGACATAGCAAAGGACATACGAAAAAGACCTCGAACCTAAGCTCATGTTTTAAGAATCATAAAATTGATTTATTACTTATTTTGAGGGTCAAAATTATTTAAAACAAATTCTGATTTTTAATTCCATGATCCAAGTTTTAAAAGCTACGGGACTGAATAAAAAATTCGTTATGGACGAGTTCATTCACGTTGATGAGGTTCTCGTGAATCACGTGAATCAATGACATATTTCTCATAATAATTAAGTTACTTTAATATTAATCATACGTCACCAATTGTTTGTGCGATACTGATACAAAGTATTAGCTGACATTTATCGGAACTATGTTTCTTAAGATCCAAATGTCCATAATATTCTTGTAATTTTCATTCCATTACTTTATCTAATCTTTGATCTCGACAAATTTGTTCATTAAACTTTAAATTTCTGAGTAATTATTGGTAATTATAAAATCATTCATAATGACAAATTAATTAATGACAAGGATATAAGAACAACATTAACCCACTTTTCACATAATTTTTGTAATCATAATGTAGAAGGTGAAATCGCTTGTGATTAAAGGCTCATCTGTTTTTTTAGGAATTGGGTACCTGTTGTCGACCAATCTAATCAAACAATTTATTACCTTCTCTTTCTCATTGTGTCCTCAACTTTATAAATAAGGTCAATAGGTCAGTAACTTATCCTTGACTTATCCTTCACAACTTATCAACATTTTGTTCAATGATGGCAAAATTTAACCGACTTGACTTTGTTATTCAATTAAATTTTCACTTCCTTTAGAATTAGTAACAAATGTCATTTGAAATGGCATAAAAAAACGTCACTTCAACCTTGATATTCACGCTTAGAATGGGAAAATATTTGTTATCATGTTCTAGATTAATATTTATTCAGTGCCATTATTTGTTATAAGTAGCATTAGCTTCGTGACAAAAAAATAACAAATTTTACGATGTATGTTTAGCAACAACCCGTTAAATTAGTGCCGTCTCATGGAACATCATGAGACCAAAAATATTTAAAACATAAACAAACTTAATTCCAAGCATTAAACAAAAACTTTCTTTTTTATCTTCTTTAGTAATGTTAGAACATCAAAGTGTTTGACTTATGAAGAACTGATGCCATATGTAATCGACCCATACTGGATGCGAATCAGAAATATCTTATCCTATCTCGTAATTACTGGATTCTTCGTAATATTGCTTCTCGCTTACATCAGCGCTTATATATCAACGTCAGAGTGTCGAAGTTTGTTGACTATTATGCAGCATCCAATTTTAAATGATAAGAGCTATGTGACAAATGCAACGAACGATTTTATTCCCATTGGGCTTGTGCCTTTGATGTTAGAAAATATAACAAAAATTGGATGGTTTGCTGATGCTCATTCTTAATTAGTGTAGAAGCTTGAATTTAAGGATCATGCCCGAGAATAATTGCAACAGAATGTTAATTATAATGAAAATTTAAGATTGAATGTTAAAACTGTTTAAAGAAAGACCAGAAAAAGTTAGAGAAGTGCCGAGAATTTTGGAAATAAATTTTAAGCCTCAAGAAAAAATATAAATATTGAATTAAATTATGTTTGCCTTAAAATAAAAACTTTTTCAAAATTCAAAATGTGATTCTTTATTATCTATTACACTCAACATTGCTGTAAGATTTGAATGTTCTTAATTTTTCAAAAAAATAAATGCATAAATTTTAAGAAATCTCAAATGCAATAAGGTAGAAGCTTCAATGAATAAAATATTAATGTTTGATAATCTTAATGCTCATTTCTTCGTCATCAACTGATACTCTTCCCATTCTTCCCTCTTTCCAAGGTAAGAAGTTGAATGAGTCGAGATCGCTGCATTTGATTAAAGGATTTGTTTCTGAAATCCGTTTCATTACATATTGCTGCGAATATTCAACTTTATCCGAGTTTCTGCATAGAACGCTGGAGAGTGATGTGTCGAAAATTTGCTTCAATTGATCTTTAAAGAAGAAGAAATAAATTAATTTAAAAAGATTTTTAATGATGTTGTCCTTACTTGGAGTAAATTTCTGAGCTCCAGCTGTTCTCTCATACCAAAATGAATCTCCACGTTTCAACCTCATAAACTGATCGCTGACAATGCAAGTCAATGTTGGCCCAATTATTCCTCCTTTTACAGGATATTCAGCTAATCCACCTGTGTAAATGTCGACGTCTTGCGGAGCTCTTTAGAAAAAATAAATGAATTATCAGATGAATATTGCTATTATTTGCACAGCTTTCGTATAAAAAAAAGGAACAAAGACATTTGCATCGCAATTTTAAAATTTGCTGTAGTATTAAAAAATTTAATCATCTTAATTTATGTCAAAGATTTTAACTTGATCGCAAAAAATTTTAAGGCACAAAAATATTGATTAGGAATGAAAATTAAATGAACTCACTTATAAATCTCATGAATCCTTTTAAATGAAATTGGATCGACAATTTTCTCCATTTCCTCCCAAGTATCTACTGGAGTCAAATGACAATGTTTCCTCCACTCAGGATATGCTTTAAGTCCATGATCTCTACCACGTTGAATATTTAAAGATACAAGATCCAACCCACACAACACAGGTGCCGCGTCATGTACAAAAAGTTTTTCAGTAAGTTCTTTTGTAAAGTATGGATCAGATTTTTCTAATGATGTATTCATGGCACTTCTTAAAGCATTATCGAATCCTTTTGGATGATAAAGTGAATATGGGTTGAAGAGGATGTTATGCAGTTCAATTGATTCTTCAGTATTTTCATGTTCCTTTGCCAACTTCATTAAACCAGGCAGTAAAGTATGAGCAAATCTGAATGCAGCAGCTGCAAACTCATTTGCCAAAGATGGATTTAACTTTTCATCGTAAGTATCTTCAGCAACTCCATCGGGTGATGATAAAATTCCTAACTTCTCACTTGCTTCTTTTCCAACAATTACAGAAAGAAATTCATTATAAGTGATGTGCTGCATTTGAGCACCGAGAATTTTTCTCGATTCTTGAAATAATCTTTCGTCGTCCCAATGTGGATTTACGACTTTTAATCCTTCTGCAAGGAAATTATGATGTCTTGCAAATAACAAATGAAGGCTTGTCAGGTGAAGATTTTCATTAGCTCTTGCGTCACCAGAATCAAAGCAGTAACGACCTTTTGAATTCTCAACTTCCTCATTACAACCATCGTTTGGATCTCGACTGACTGGCATTAAAGTCCGATTATCAGGTGTTAAATACATATCCAATTTTCCATCTCTAAAGCTCCTCAATGACCTGACTTTCTCTTCAGTTGATCCATAAACAACAGATCCATCAATAAATCCAGATGCCTGATTGTACTGTTGTCTTGGTCCCAATCTATTTGTTGGTGCTGGCATGCTCCTAATAAAATTCAGGCAAGTCATATTAAATTCATTATAATATGGATCACCATCAGCTAATGCGACAGGAAAGCATTCAGGATGAAGTGGCTGATCAGTTTTGCAGCATTCAATTGGAGTCCCTTCTAATCCTTGGCTACTTGCTGTCGCTGTAATGTCATGATCAAGAAATTGACCCCAGACTGCAAGCATGACAGTGAAATGCTTATCAGTGAAATAAGAAGGTCGATGGATTGTTACAGAAACATCTCGAGCTGATGGTAATATACTTCCGTCTTTGGCGCATCGTGGTGCTGAGACTCCATCACAATAATCAGGATTTAAAGCACGTCTAAATGGAGTGTAAGCAGTAGCCCAATATGGATGCTTCTTGTTGTTACAGATTCCTTCATATGATCGATATTTTGGATTTTTAGCGCATTCAATTTTATTATTTTTGATAAGATTTACTGAGGGACCAACACCAATATTATGGCCAATATGAGTTTTTTTGAACTTATGTCTCAATGCTAAGAATCTTGTTGCATAATCCTCAACATATCCACGTTTTCCAGCTATTCTTGCTAGACTTGTTGTACTCACTGCACGTTGATGACGAAACGATGGAGTATTTAATGCTGGTGCTGTTATTATTTCCTCAATCATTTCTTTATCTCCCAAAGCCTTTTTACCAGCATTAATTGCTTCTGTTAATTCATCATTTGTTGGCTCTGGAATGGACCAATTTGCTATCGGTTCATCAACAATCGGGAAGAATGTAAAGAAAATTTCTGGAATCGTTGCATTTCCATCAATATTTACAATAGGCAAATTATCAGTTGTTGGTGGATTAAAATTATCAGCACTTGGTCCATAGAATGAATAACAAATAGCAATAATCGCAGCTATCAACACAGCAGCACTAAAAAAATCAATATAGTAAAGTCATTAAACTTTTGAATGATTCAATGAAAGTATGATAGGTCAAGAATCATTGAGTATAAAAGTAAATGAAACCTTACAATATTCCGGTACAAATGAAACATTGAAATTGTTTCGCTTGACGCTCTCTTTGCGGCATGTCTCGACCTGGGAAAACATAAGATGGACCTGAAAATTATTATTTTTTACTTATTTGAATTTTCAAATCATTTCTGTAGTTTTTTTTTTCGAGTATATAAGATAGATGATGCTGCATTGAAGGAGGTCAGCAATGATCATTTAAAAATCACCTTCAAGTCCTTTCCACAGTCGCAGAAAACAAATAATTTTTTAAACCACGCTTTCATCTTACCTGGATCACCCAAAGGAACAATCGGCGTCTTCTCGTTAGGATTTTGATCAGTTTTCATAATATCTCTGTAATTTAACTTCATGATTCTTAACTTAAGTCTCTGAAAAACTGATCCCATCAATAGTCACTACTCAACTGAAAAAGACAATGAAATTATATCGAATGCGTGAAGGAAATTTTTCTTCGATTTTTTTTTTTTTTTTGAAATTTGATATCTGCGTTCACTTGTATTGATGTATCGGAAGCAGTGTAAAAGGTGAATACGATGATACTTACATTACTTGCAGAGGCGACTGAAGATGCAAAGAGAGAAAGACGTTTGCTGAGCTCTTAAATTCCCTCAAGAAGACACAAAGACATTCTGATTGCGAGAACAATTTAGATTCATCCAAAAATAAATTAATTTCGTCGACATCCCTGGCAAGCATTATAAAATTCGAAATTTGTTGTTCTGCATTTCGCAGTCGCACTTATAAGTCTTTATTGTTTCATATTAAGTCGATGTTTCATTTTCTAAAATTTCTACTGTTATTATCATTTAGATTTATGAGGAATTGATCACGTAAACCAAAAAAAGTTGGTCATTAGTAAATCGCTTGTAAATTAAAATTAGAATTACTTCAAAGGAATCAATTATTGTTTAATCATGGGGTATAGAACATGACTAATAGACAATATTGCTCTCCTTACTTTGAGAAGTTTCTGTCGAATAAATCAAATCACATATTTTTCTATTTCAATCCTCTATTTTTTGTTGTTTGATAATTATTGATCTGTAATCCATAAACAAATCAATACACGTGATTTTAATCAATTAAATATTTATATTGAGTTTGCCACGAGCCTACAGATTAGCAAATAATTGAGAGTTTATTTCCGTCAATAAAATTGCATGTTTAAAAGCCATTCAGCCAATTATTGATGTGAGAAAACAGTCGTTAATATGGAAAGTAATAATCAAATCTCAATTAAATTTGATCATCAATAATTATTTGTATAAGAATTTATAAATCTTTATGAGAAAAAGGAATAATTAATATCTAATAATGAGATTAATATAAGGTCATAAAAAGTCTCTAATTTAATGAACTTTCAAGTTCAGTCTATTCGTTTAAGATTGATTTTTAGTACAATAAGAACAACAGTGAGTTCTTATCAAGCTATGATTATCGCATGAATGAAGTTAATAAATCTAATGACATTGCTAAATGCAAACGATAGAATTAAAATCAGTGAACATTTTGAGTAATTATCAAGTGACGAAAGCGTGATTAATGCAAAATTCACATGGAACTGTTCATGGAGACATCATCGGTACCCGTAATTAACTTTTAACGCTAGATAGCATAAACAAATAAAGTACGAAATTAAAATTTTACATTTTACCGTCACTTCATGTAACAGAATGCTGTAATTATGACTATTTCAGGTCATAAGTTCTAACTGGTTTTAATACTAAAGACTAGTTGGTTTTATTAAATTGGTGTTAATTGTTTGGATTTAGAAGGTCAGAAAATTCAGATTAAATTAACTAGTTTATATTAAGTAAATAAGGCATGAACATTTGAACTTTTTAAAAATCAGATCCCTATTTTTTTATTTAATTTAAAATAAATAATTTTACAATTCTTCATTTCTTTAATCTATATTTCATATTAAAATACGTAACTAAGTGTAAAGCACCAAGAATGATTGATACTGAGATAAATATTTTATAAACATTTTGACTTATCTGGAGATTTTTAAGCAGATCTGCGGGTCTTTGAAAATGACAATACATTTTACTACACGGAAGCTTCTCACGATCCCAACCAAAAACGGCAGTAGCCACACCATCTGCTGCGTGTTTTAGAAAATCAATTTCATAATTCCACTGCAGAAGAGGTGAAGCATCTTTTTGGAACACAAAGCCGCCACAGAATGTTACATGCCATATCATTATGGGTATCGCTATTACTACTGTTATCTGTAAGAAGAAAATTAGAAATAATTTCAAAGTCAATCAGAATGAGCTGTATCAAAAAATTATACTTGGAAGGAAAATCTTCCTTGATGACACTTACCACAACATTTGACATCGATCCACAAAAAATTCCAAATATTTGAGCCGAAAACGATGTCAGCACTCCAATTACAGCAACTAAAGAAACTCTATAAAATTCCAGAGGCATTCCAGCCATTGCGTAAGCAAGAATATTTGATGATAATGAACAGACGATTAATAATGGACTGTCTGCTAAGTTAAATGCTAAATAATACGCCATACTCGAGTAGTGACGATTGAAATGCTCACGTTTTACTATTGCATAATCAAGAGGAACTGCGACAAAGATAAAAAAATAAAAAATTAACTGGATTAAAATATTAACCTTTTCAGTGATCATTTAAACAAATTAATAATTAAAAGTTCCCAGACACTCGACAAAAAAAATGTTTTGGCATGTCAATGACACTTGAGTTAAGAACACGTGAATAGTTTTTAATTTCTTGATCAGATTTAATGAGATTAAAAAGTTTTGTAATTTGTTGAGCACGATGAAGGCACGTATTATAAAATATTGAATAAATTATGTTATCTGAATAGGTATTAGAGCACATGACAGACGTATTGATGAGGAAATAGCCGAATAAAGAATTGATAACTTAAGTAGGTCATTCGTTGTTAAGCTTTTGTATAGTAAATAAAACATTGAAATTTATAACTAGCTTTTTGAGTGCATTAACTTAGTCAGCATCACTTTAGTACGCACATCTGAGATTAAATATACACGCGCAATTTTCAGGATACAATTATCTCTAAATCATAAGGGGCCATTCACTTATTACGTAACGCTTTTAGGGGGAGGGGGGGGAGGGTGGGGTCTAAGATTTTGTTACGGTTCAAACGAGAAAATTTTATTTTCATACAAATTTTGTTACGAGGGGGGGGGGTCTAAGAAGTCATTTTTTCGCGTTACGTAATAAGTGAACAGCCCCTAAGAGAATAGAATTTTTTTTTAAGACAATAGCTTGCCATTCTCAAAATTCTTGTTCCTATATGAACTCATAACCTTGGAGATTCTTCAATCATTTGAATTATATGTTGAAGAATAGTTTGTTATAAATTATAGAATCGAATGCATTAAGCGTGTAGCGACTAATTTTAATAGTGACGACTGAAGAATATCGCAAAAAAAAAATACGAAAATAAAGTAGAAACAAATTATCATTAAATGCAGCATAAATGATTCAATTAGCTTATAAGCGCTAAATACTTAGACTTTTTTTCTGCAATTACAGTTGTTTCAGCATTAGAAGTCAGTAACATTAGACCTTAACATCACTTTTCAAGTGTGCGATACAAGTTGTATGAACATTTAAAAACACTTAAATTTGTCAGAAACATGGCTATAATCTAAACAACTTTACTTTTGCAGTAAATGGACTTTTATAGTCTAAAACAAACGTTCGAATGCATAATTGACATAAGCACTGCACTTGACATTGATCTACTTTCTAGCTTATTAAAAAATTATGTTTTTTACAGACTAAAATCTAGTTTCAAATTTGAAACAGAAACTTTCGCGCATATATTTTTTTTGCTAAAGAAATCAAGCGTGTAATGAACTGCGTGTGTATCTACGGAAATGAAACAAAATATTCGCGAAAAAAAAGTAAGCACAAGGTTGTGTGATCGCTTAAAATTTAGTACAGCTTTTATTGTAAGAAAAATTTTCTGTTATGCGTAAACTTTATTTACCGGTAATTTTCAAGATAATTCGGCGAATAGCCTAGTATTTTGTGAGATTTCTCTCTAATTTAAATCAAGCTTAGATGTTTGAGAATAGCTTCAGAGATTTTTATGAACTTCAATACTTAAAAGATTTAAAAAGTGAATAACCAGAATTTTGAATTAAAGAACCAGTTCTCAAAAATGTAAATCTGGACATTTTTTGCATCATGACATCTCAGTTGCAAATTTGGGGATTAAAATAAGACCAGACACACCTACATAATTAAAAATATTTAAAATGTCAACTTACATCTCACCATCATTGAGAAATATGCTGTATAAGTTTGAATATACACGCTGCACATGACAAATTGAAAACTACTGATCATATTTGATGCATCATATCCAATTTGAAAGTATAATCCACCAATGAGTAATGATAAAAATATTGACATTCCTAATCGAAGCTGCATATAAGTTTTGTCACGATACATGAAGAGGAAGTTCCTTAATAAAAGTAATTTCAGTTGACGCAGGAATGAGGATGAGTATTTTGAGTCATCGATACTATTTGGGTTCCAATGTTGGTGGCAAATATAATTATTATTATTGAGATTATTGTTACTATCATTATTATTTAAGTTATTATTCTTCATCTCTATCCAATTTTTCTCAAAATTAATTTTCCCATTTTCAATCTGTTTCCGAAGTCTATTGTTGTGTGGACCATAGTCATTGCTTGCTACTTCAATTACATAATCTGCAGGATTGTATGAACTTGGACATGGAATCTCACATTCTTTGAGAAATGGGACCAAACAGCTCACAGGTCCATTGAAAATGCAGCTTCCCTCTGCAATCACATATAGCTGATCAAACATTTCAAATTGTCTTGCAGATGGTTGATGGATTGTGCATATCACAGTTCGACCAGTTCTTGCTATTTCTTTCAAAAGCCCTAGGCATTGAGATGCTGCAAATGAATCAAGTCCGGTGGTACATTCATCAAGAAAAATGATTTGTGGATCGTTGAGGAGCTCAATGGCTATAGAGATTCGCTTTCGCTGACCACCACTTAAAGACTGTATGAATGTGTCTGTATTTTCTAATTTTAGCATTCGCAGCGTACTTTCAACTTTTGCTTCTTGTTCTTTTTTTGTCAATTTAATTCCAGTCTTAAATTTTACAGCAAATGACATTGATTCGCGTACTGATAAAAGTGGGAATAAATTTTCTTCCTGCATTATATAAGCTGAATGTTTGGTGAATTCTCGTAAATCTCGCGGTTCTCTATTCACTGTGATTGGTCCACTAAATTCATCTGTATTAAAGCCACTGAGGATGTTAAGTAAAGTCGTTTTCCCACTCCCACTTGGACCCATCACTGCTGTAAGTTCGCATGCTTTAAACTCGCCGCTGATGCTCTTAATAATTTGTTTTTTATCTGTTGAAAGAAATTGAGATTTTTTTTTGTTGGGTTAGATGTTTGATTAAGTCGGTATTGTCTCTGCATTTTTTAAGGAAAACTAATGTTTTAGAGCTCTTCTCTACCCAAATTGTAACCTCAATTATGAATGAATCCTTTGTTTTTGTAAAAGAATTAAAGAAGCCACGCAAATTAACATTGAAAGTGCTAATTGGATATTAAAATGCAATTAAATTGAATAAATTCCACAAGGTTAGATACAAATTTTTCTTCTGATTCTGTCTTTTAAATTTTCTCTAACTTATCAATATTTTTGATATAATTTGATATAAGTAATTCCTTATTTAGACATGATTTCACCGTGCCTTATAGAATTTTTGGGTAAAAAGAAATTTTAACCAGTAGCTGCAAATTGACAGATTTCCATAAACTCTGTGACGTGATACCAGCAATTTGACTCAGTTTAGCAGGTGACATTGAGTGAAATCGGTCAGAATATTACAATTTAAACATCTCAAGATTTCCATCACAAAAAGTGAACCACAAACAAAAATAGTTTGACAAACACTGAACTATTGGAATGGCGATAATTGTTAAACATCTAAATAATACCTCAATATTTGAACATAGAATCAGTGAGGTGAATGAATGAAAACAGTAAATCTTATTGACTCTTAAAATGTTTACCCAAAATCTTGAATATAATGCGTATGATTCTCTCTGTAATCAGCCGAATAATTATTGCTGTTAGATATAAACCAGGCATAATAATTTTTTATTTGCATGTTTTTGACTTGAATAATTGAGACGTTGATGGTCCAATTAGTGAAAAATCCTACTTTTGCGTAAGCATTTAAGCATAAAATTTGCAATTATAATCTATGACATCTGGCGATTTGGAATCTTTGATTAGAGAACATATGTATGTAGATTAAAAATAGCTGATGAAATATCGTCAGTTTAAGTTTTAAGATATTTTAAATACTTCAAAGAAGGAAAAATCTGTAAGACATTCTTTTCATTAAGGGCTGTTATATTAGTAAACTATAGATCAAGGTTGACATGTATCTATCAAAAACAAAGAATAACAATTTTTATCTTCAAAATTACCAGTTCTAGTAAACTAAGTGGTTTTAAAATCACTGGTTTGGAATAACACTTCGTACGATTTTTAATTTGACTACGAAAACCTGAATGTTTCAAAGATAATTGCCTTCAAACCTACATTCACCTCTGCTCTTCTTTAGAAGAAACTGTTTTGGTAAATTTTCACGATTTCTAGCGTTAACTTCTAGATGCAACATATTTTCAAGCTTAAAGATCAAAGTGTCTTAATATCGTAAAGGTTAGTCATCATTTTAAGATTAAATAGTCAAATGTATCTAAAAATTCAAGATAAACAAGAACTCTGCATCCAAATATCAAAGATATTAATAGAACTAGTTTTAAAATAGTAAAGAACAATATTCTATCCTCATATTTTAGTATATGTTTATTCACTGACCTAGACAATACTTGACGTCAAAGCTTTTTGATAACAAAACTATATTTTGCAAAACAAGTTCTGCTTAAAAATTCTGATTTCATAACTCTGACATATTCAGATTCCGTTTATTTTTCAGATCATCCGCACAAATGTTGATCAATTTACTATCAGAACTCAAAAGTCCAAAAGATTACTGCATAAAAATATGAACTCTATTTCTTGATTTGAACTTAATTTAATATATGACTTAGTGTCTTACTAAAATTATTCTGTCAAAATACGAGTTGTTTGATTGAAATCCAAGTGTTAATGTTTGTGGGAATTACCGAAATTGCCATTGATTGATCACAAAAAACAGAATGTAGTTCAGTAAATTTGCAAAAACAACATTACTAATTGTCTGTGGTTAGGAAATTTAAAGATAGCTCGTTCATTAACTCAAGCTTCTTATCAACATTGTTAAAAAAAATTTCTAAGGGCACAAAGCTTTGACTGAACTAATCAAATCTATTAAAGAAGGTTGGTTTTAATTGAGAAACATTTTGGAGATGTTTTACTTGAAAATCTCATTTACTTCTCGTCAAAAATCATAGTTGCATCCCAATTGTAATGGAAATCGACATACTTTTCTTGAACATTTCTGAACAAAATAGATTGTATAAGTCAAACCCAAATAGGCACCGAACAAGCAACAAGTACGGTTAAAAAAAATTCAAAAGATAAGGCATCGAAAAATCGGCACTAGGTCATAGCAATTTTTTCTTCTGCATGTTGATCACTGCGTAGCATGTGGCTACTGTTTCGGAAGTAAAAAGCAATTTTGCGTTGATTGACATCAACAGAGTTGTTGCTACTAGAAATTATGGTTTTCTTTAAATTTCTTGGAATTATAACAATAATTATTAAAATAATTATAATAATAATAACTTTATTGCGCCGAAAGAATTTCATCTGTGTGTGACTTGGTTTTAAATGCAGCTGTTTCAAGACAGTTTTTTTTGCACCAATAATTCAAAATTTTTTGTTTTAAAAATAGTTTGTTCCACAAGAACTGTTCTCACTGTTTAAACTCTTAATATTTCACGGAAATCTAACACCAAACCTTTCTGAATCTAGAGCAAAAGTCACAAAATTAATGATCATTCCGGCTTAATATCGACATTTATCAAAATATGGATCTTCAAGGAAATAAATGTAATAAATTTGACAAAAAAACTAGTTGCTGGTTTTCTTCTTCACTCAAAAATATTCGTGATTAGATATGAAGTTCAGTGGACTTTCTTCATCACATTGTGTAAAAAAAATCAAAACAAAAACGAGACAAAAAATAACCGGACAGGTGATAAATGCAAAGCATGAATACATTTTGATAAAATTAATTAATAATGCGTGACTCAAAATCAAAACTTGTAGCTAACGTGTTTTTTAACAGGATTTCGATTATTGTCTATTCTAGACATTCAAAAGATAACAAAATTATCAACGCGACTCGTTTTAGACGTAAAACTTATTTTTTAAACTTCCGAGAAAGAAAAAAAAATTGCACAAAATATTTGAAAAAATTTCATTTAACCTCTTCGAAAAATTCCACAATTCACGAAATAACTTAAATCTTCAAATTTTAAGTCCATTTCTTCACACGAATTCTTATCACTTTTTTTATAAACAAAAAAAAATATTTTTAAAATTTCACTTCTATCAATTTTTTTTTGTATTTTCTTATTTTCGCGTCAGTAACACAGCTCGAATTAAGAACGACTGATTCAAAAAGCACGAAAATACTTTTTCACAGAGAATTTGAAATGTTTGAGAGAGACAGACAAGGCCGCTAATAAGTTTCACGTCTGACTCTATCTCGATTCAAATGCTGAAAATTTTTCTTATGTATAAAATTGTGATCAGATGTTTTTTTTTCTTCTCTTTATTTTGGTATTTTTGTTGTGCATTTAATTTTTCTCATCTTACTGCTGTGATAATAAAGAACAGCACTTGATGTAGATCTCTCATATAGTTGAACTGCTATATGTGTATACTAATGTAAAACAAGTCGGATTCGATGGGAATCGAACATACGACCTCAAAAGGGGCAATCTCTGACCACTCGATCAGAGATCCCTGCCACTTGGTCACCGATGTACTTATCTCACTTTGGCTATCCGTCATACACATAAAACCAGTTTCAAAGCGATCCCTATGCTCAGGCCTATCTACTTCAGATATGCTCTTCGAGTTAATTCATACTTGATGATTTTCTAAGTATATTGCCTAATGCTTAAAACCACAGTTAAACTCATAAACTTTTTAATGTAGATCAGTTTTCAGTTTTAACAGCGTCTTAGGTTTTTGTCAAGACATTGGTTGAATTCAATTGGTCTTTTCAGTAATCAAACTCAGACTCTAAACTAAATTTGAATTCAACTTGAAAAGTCATTAAAGAGACATTGTAGAACTTTTTTCACAGTATTTTATTGAATTGATCAAAATTTCAAAATTAAGATTATTGTTCAAATTCAATCTTGAATCTTGATTTCATAACCGAAAACTGATATGCATACTCAGTATGTGTTGAATAAAAGTAATAACAACGACAATAATAATAAACGCCGGTTATTAAGCAAAAAATTTTGACATTTAAACATAAAAATTCTTGAGAGCTTCAAACTCATTAAATGAAAACTTGAATGAACAATATTGTGATTTTATGAGCCTCAGTTTTAAGTGTTAAATTCTCCCCTGCGACTGCATTTGGAAACTTATTTAATTTATATAACTTTAATGGTTTTCAGTAAACGGAAGAAATAGAAAAATTCTAAAGAATAAACATCCATAAGTCTTTCTTGTTTACAAACTTTTCTACTTTTTTTGGTGACAACATTCTCTAAAATTGTTTAAAAACTTTGTTTTTATGTAAAACTAATGTCTAAAATCATCCTGATTTTTTGCGAGTCATTGTCCGAACATTTTTTATAAGAAATAAAATAAATTTTAGCGAAGATTTTAAAAAGCTTGCAATCAATTTGATATTATTATGATCAAGGCAGGGAAAAAATAAGAAATCTATAAATTCTGACGTCAAATAAATCTTGAATATTCATGACCGGTGTTATCTAATTTTCAAGCTTTAACATATTTTTGTAGACTATTAAAATGTTATTTTTAATCAAAGACAAAAACAAAAAATTTAAGTTTTGGATATTGCACGTGTAGACTGACTAGTTAGCACGAATTTGATTCTATTTGTTTGCCTTGTTGTTAAAAAGGCACAAATTGTTTTAAAACTATAGAGTTTAAAATTTGAAGGATTTTTTTTTGGATTTCAAAATGCAAATTTTATTACTTAAAATACTGGATTCTTAAAGCATTTGCCATTTCCAATGCAATTTAAATAACAAGTGACCAGCTTAAAAAAAGTTTGTGGAGAATATAATTTATTGGATGGAAAGAACAAAAATATAAACAGGATGAATCGTAAAATATTTGACAATTTTTAAACGAAAATTAAATAAAAGCCAAAATGTCAAAAGACTTTAATTGACTGGTTGATATAATAAAGTTCAATCGTTCTGAACTGCGAATTTTTAAGATTTTTTAAAATATATTTTTCACACCTTTTTCTGCTCAGTCGGCGCTACACAACAATTAAAAATTAAGTGTCTAATGTCTCTACCTCTTATGTTATTGCTTAATATTAAACTCATTCGGCCTGTTTCACTAAAGTGGATTATCCTCGATTTCGGATTATCCACTTCAGTTTTTTGGAAATATCTTAAACTTTATGGGAGGTGTGGTATTTCTAATTTTGGATTATAATAGAGTGAGCTATGCCTGAAATTTCTATATACTTTAAACTTTTACTTTTCGTTAAGAACTATCAATTATTCAATTTCCTAGCCAAATCTAGTAGATTAACTTCAATTTTTGCTATAATTCTCAAACTAGTGAAGATATAAAAATTCTAAGTATATGTTGATTTAAGTAGCAAAGTACTCTAACTAGATCACACATTAGATCTCTTAATAACCTTAAGCGTCTGGCGATATTTCCAAAAAACTGAAGTGGATAATCCGAAATCGAGGATAATCCACTTTAGTGAAACAGGCCGATTGTGTTTAAATTTCAGGGAATTTTGTTCTCAACTCCAAAAATTCCCACAGATCTTGATTTACCAGTCTTAGCTTTGTCCAGCCTCTGTTAAATTCTACACACTTTTTTTAAGAAAAAAAAACCGAATTCATGATTTTTTTTTGTATTTTTATTAAGTTTAGCAACTTTATTAAAATAAAAATTCACAATTGTGAAGTCAAGTCGACTTAACTCTCTGTGTTATGCATCAAATAGTTTTGAAAGAATGTATCAATTTGGTCAATTGTTAGATCTGGTTGCAAATGAGTTGTTTTTATGTGCCTCAAAAGATGCGTACGATTAATATAGCCTTTGTGCTTACATATCTGACAAATCTGTGGAGAAGAAACAATAATAAAAGAGAATAGAATTAATTGATGTTTAAAATATTAAGAATGGGACGTAGAAGTTGTGGACAGGATGATTTTAACAATTTGAAGATTATTTCCTTGAATCGGTTTTTTGAGATTTTAAGTAAATTTGTAGAGGATTTATGCATGTTTTATGTCAAATCTTATGCAAATGCTGATTAATTAACAGAATCAATTAGAACCTGTTAACATTTTTTTATGTCTGAGTCATTCAATTTTCGTTTCTGTGCTCTTTTGTTTGGTATATTCATAGGAGTAGCAGAGATTTTAAGCATCTAATTCTTTTTCAAACAATTTGGATCCAACTTTTAAAAATACGCGAGTATAAAAAATTTGAGCTCAATTGGAGCAACAGAAGTGGTCGTATAATCGATTGCAAGATTTGAACGTGACAGACCAACTCAATAAAAAGAGAGTAAAAAATCCCGTCTTCACTTATTTTACTGGTTTTATGGAAAATCCCATGTAAAGAATTTATGATGAGGATTATTCAGGCGGTAGATATTTGTCTTGAATTTTCCTGAATCACTATTGGAGAATTTCTACTTACACATTGGTTTTGGTACTCTTGATCATGCTTCTTCATGTGCTTCCTTAAAATTGGTCTAGTCTGAAATTTCTGATTACATACATTACATTCATGTATCTTGTCATCTCGGTGAATATCCATATGACTCGATCGATTTGCACTAGTTTTAAAAGCTTTGTCACAAATTGTACCTATACGAATCAGAAATATTGATGTTATTGAGAAGGAATGTTTATTTAGTGTTGTACTTACATTTATAAGGCCGCTCATTGGTATGCGATCTCATGTGAATCTGTAAGTCTGACTTTGATACGCACTGCTTTGGACACATTGAACAAGTAAATCGTTTGTCACCACCTAGCTCTACGAGCTTCAGATGCTTGTTGAGTAGCCATTCAGATTTAAAGCGCTTGCCGCAGTGCTCTTCGCAAATATACTTCTTCATGTTGCAAACTTTCATATGTGCCAATTTCTCAAATTGTGTTGGGAATCTTTCACTACAGCATGTACAGATGAACTCGACCTTTCTGTCAAAAATCTCTGGATGCTTTGTCTTTACGTGCTCTGGAAATTGTCTGATCTGCTTGTGCCCTTCAAAGCATCGATTGTCGAGTGGACAATATAAAATATTTGAATGGAAAAATAGTAGATGCATTTTGATATAAAATTCAGATTTTCTGATTCCACAATGTCCACAATTAAAAAGAATTTCTTCAGATAAATAATCATCATCAGACAATGACTTATCAGATCTCATAAAATGTCCTTCAAATGCTGATCCTCGCTCTATCAGACTCTCTTCTAAATGCTCAATCTTGCTTTCATGTAATGAAGTATGTGTAATCAAATCATCTTCACTGCTGAACAGAATTTGACATTCACCACACTGATATGAAGGCATTTGAGGAAGAATAGCTTCAAAACTTTCATGAGCTTTTTCATGTAATTTTGAGTACTTTTCCTCTTTGAAATAAATGCCACAAAAGTCACAAGCATATTGAATGTTCTGTGTTGTTGTGTGTGACCGCTTTTTATGATGCACTGACCTATGCTCATGTAATTCTTTGATGGATATGCATTGAATGCCACAATCGCATGTAAAAACCTTTTCCATATCCATACTGTCGACTATAATTTTCATATCAACTTCCTCTTCTTCCTCTTTTATCATCATTGATTCCGATTCTTCTGATATCGTGTCCTGTATGATATCATGCTCCATAGTACTGTCGTCCTGAACTTCTGCATAATACTTTTCTTCCGTTTCTTCAATAAACTCTTCATCTGTTAAATTAGATTCGATGTACATTGGCTCATAATTTTGATTTTCCACTTCATTCTCAACTTCATACTGGTTCTTGCATCGAATGATAAAGTCACTTTCAGTACATTCCAGCTCAAAATCCTCTTCTTTCTCTTTGTTTTTATTGAAAAATTCACGAAGCTCTGAAATTGCATTCTCAAAAAATGACGATGACAAATTTTGCTTTGCATTCTCCTTGAAAATGTAAAACTGAACTAATTGTTCCTTACATTCATCACAAATGTAGTTGATTACAGAAGGATTTATCTAAAATAACATCAATTTTGCACGATTAATTATGAATTTTTAATTTTAACAATTGTTACTTACTCTTCTCGAAAAAATATCAAAAATGATTTCCTCCAAATCTATCAGTTGTGGTCCAATTAGAACCGAATTTCCATTTACATCATATAACATTGTTGACAATGTACTGCAATTGCAGAACAGACAACAATAATTCTCCTCCAAACTCATGATTTTGACTAAAGTTTGCTACAAATTTATATGCAAGCCGTATTTGTTGTTGTAACGGATGTAAATAAAGATTTTTGCAAAGGGGTGGGAAACTTTTGAATTTTCAAAAACCGTTAGCAATAAATTTTGGATTAGAATTTATTTTCAGGTTGTTAACTTCGGAATGTTATTAGGGGTCATTTCAGTGGGTGTAGGAAGGAAAGGGAGTCATTATCATTACGGGAAATTTAATAAAAATGCTAGTGTTCTTTGATAAAAAGACCCAAAGACTTTAATTTTTTTATACAAGCAAGGAGCTTAAGTGCAAAAGGAGACCACAGTTGCTTTAGTTTAGGTCCTTTAGCAGTATACAATAGCAATCAGTTTAGATCAAGTGGTTTGAAACTGCTAGCATGAATTCAGTTGGACATAAAATAATTTACTCAATCCTCTCTAATATGATCATTACTTTATAAAATAATGCAATTTTCCATCATCATAGTCACTAATATCCTACCCATTTTAATGGAGTACAGAAGTTCGTCTATGCATAATCATATTCACGAATCGTTCTAGGATGTATGAAAAATGATTTCTCTCAAAACTTTAATTTTCACTTCTTTTATTCGTACATGGATGCTTAAGGATATTATATGTAAATTATAATAGTCTTTTCAGATAGAATAACGTGACATGAATTAACGAGGACATCCTTTTCTTCAGCATTTAGAAACTTTAAAAGTCGTTCCAAATAAATATTTTATTCATATATATTGGAGGATATTGGAATGGATGAAATACCACAAAGTCTACAGCCGTTTAAGATCATCAATTGAATTATAAATAAATGTAAATCCTACATTTTATGTTGCATGCTTCAATGTCAATTAAAACAGTTTTATACCGAATGGCACAAGTCGGTTAATCGATCAGAAATCTTGCACCAAGCCGGTGTTTCTTTGGCGTGGTGCTGGATTTTATTCGAAGCTAGTACCATGGCAGAGTCATTCCAGCTTGGTGCCAAACTTATATTCGATTAACCAACTTGTGCCTTTCGGATATGTACACTTGAGTTGATGCAAGAACTCGTGCTTCAAAATATTCATATTGATGATATAAAGGCATAATTTAAAGGCTCTTTCGACTCACTCTTAACATTCATTTCAAACCATCAAGTTGAACCAAAACTAGTCATCGCCAATATTATGGTCAGTGCATAAGAATAGAGGCTATTTTTGTCAATAAAGAAATACAAAGTCTAGAAGCACATGACAAGCGCGAGTAGTTTTTGTTCGCATTATGGCGTTTATTTTTCATTTCATGAACACATATTGAAAATAAATTAACAGCAAATATTGCGTTAAATCGAATTTTATTGAGAGAAAAATATTTAATAAATAAAAAAAATTCATCACATACTGAAATGACACTTTAGTGCTGACGTGAATGGCATAGTTGCGTGGAAATAAGTAAGAATGATGCATGATGAAGTTTTTCGAGTTCAGTTCATTTCATTTCAATATTAAATTAACGCATAATAGTAGTCGTCGACTCTCGATTTTTACAGTCTATAAATATGCTTCACATGCTGTTCTCGATAATACGCATGGAAAGGTTTTTAAAAATTCTTCTACAACCCTTGATTTTATGTTTTTCTGAATTCACTTCACGATTTCAATTGCATTCAAATAAACTTTTTCCTTGATTGAAATATGCTCGATTCTATAGTTTTCCATTTTTATGGGTTCTGTATTATAATGCAATAGCTCTCTATTTTTCTCGTGCTTTTGCAATTTTTTATTTTGCACAATTTCGGGGATTTTGTGGTTGTCTTGTAATACCAAAATCGGTGTGACTTTTATAAAAAATATAAAGGAAATGTTATTTTGTATTATTTTCGAATTTCTCAAGCTTACATATTTTAATAAGCTGAAAAGGCTCGGTGTTGGAATGGTTTAGTACTTCGGTACCGAATCATTACAATACCTACACTGCGATTATGGGTTCGAGACATGGTATGGGCAATTTTCGAATCATAAGGACTAGAAATGAGGCTCACAGCCTTCCTTTGTAGCTTATAGGCAGAAATGTCATGAAATGAGTGGTTGGGATCCCACTATAAACTGTAGGTCTAGGTTTGAGCGGGAAATCTTACAAACCCTCTCTCATTTAACTATCATTAGCTTTGAAACGAATATAATACGCAACTATGGATTTTAAGGTCTGAACAGCTAAAATTTATTTTGTTCTTTTACACATTTTAATACCAGCAAAACTAAAGGTCAATGAAGTTAACCGAAATAAAACATTTCATGAATAAATTGATTCCATCCGCACAGTCCAATTGAAAATTATTACATCATCAATAAGAAAAATTTACACCTTTCAATAAAAATAATTTTCATGCTTAATTTTTTTCGTCACATAGTTTTGCTTCCCAATTTCATATTGCTATACTTCCCATTACCTTTAACTCCTTTCTTGCATGCACGAAAAGAGCTTTATGAGAAAAATTTCCCTAAATGAAATTCCATTCTAGTCACGTTGTGGATAGAAAAAATAATAAGAAATGAGGGAAGTTTAATCCAAGAGATGATAGCCACTGCCCTTCTTTAGCAAAAAAATAGATTTAGAGGGTGAGAAAAGTGGAGAAAATTTTCATAGCAATGGTCCACACTTGGTTAATAAATTGAAGAATTATTCAGATTATTATCTAACATAAGCAACAGAATATATCATGAGATAAATAATGAAATTCCATCTTAATGACAAGTTTTCTTTTTCTTCTTGATGTACTTTATCTATTCAATGTATGGCTCTGGTTTCATGTTCAATCTAGTACATTGATGCTAGGAATTCAAGTGCAATTTTTGCTAAGTGAAAATTTAAGCAAATTTTTTGAATTTCCATCAACTTTTTTTTCAATTTCACAAAATGAGCACTCACAAAATACACTTAACTGTATTTGTAGCTGTTATCAAACATGCCAAATGCATTAAGCTCTCAATCATTAAAATTAATAATATTATGACAAGGAATTTGAAGTCTCATATCATATTCATAGTTTAAAATTCAGCATATGCTGTTAAATAGAAGTGCTTATTGCATGTATGCTTGAGAGATAATTGAGCATAATAAAAGATAACATGTGTCAGCAATCAATGCACATCAGAGCCTTTATCTACATATCTCAATATTAAAACATATCATAGCATTTATGTGATGGGAATGTAAAATTTAATAATGATATGCAAAATAAATTTCCGGGTTGTGATGAGAACCTGATTTTGTAATTGATGAATTGATCACTTTTAATTTGATTTAATTAAATGGCTTGAGGAGGCTTGAGGTTATTCACATTGGTTAGATGGTTAGACATAGAATATGATTTTACAGAACATGTTTCCATCTAATGAGGACTAATATGTGCTGTCAATAAAGCTTGTAATTTAGATAATTAAAATTTGTTCTCAAAGACTGTTTTGCCGCATTCTGTTTGCTTGTTGTTTCTGTGGTAAAAGTTTGTGCTGTTATGCCCGAATGACACATCTTAATGAGAAGCTGATAAGGAGTTAGCATGAAGTTACCACAAACTTTGCAAAAGATTGCAATTGGCATCGCATAATTGTTCTATTAGATAAATTGTTGCTAGAGCCTTTTTACAGTAAATTAACGTTACATAAAAACTAAGTTTTATAAAACTGAAAATAAAAAGCAGGATTCAAAAAACAATTTTAACAATTGCACCGTTCCTATGAGACTCATATATGAGTAAATTTAGCATCAAAACATCACAAAATTGACATGGTAATAAACGAATATGCAAAAAACAAGGAAATGAAATTTTTTCTACAGATTGCATTGTAAACATATTTTTTTGTCTATTTTCATTTTGAGTTTTTATCTTGTTTTGTGTATATGCATTAATCCTTTGAGAGCTTTCTGTTAAATGCTTTTAAAAGCTTCTCACATTTTTTTCTTCTTCATCCTCTATGAAAATGATAAATTTTACAAATGTTTTATGTTCATAGAGTTTTTCATTGAATTGAATTTAAATGAAATTTCCTGCTCGTATGTTCGTTGTAATGAAATAAAAGAGAGCAAATGGAATGTTTTAGTCAAAAAAAACGAACAAACTTTTTTTTTTGATAAATGCTTCGAAAAATGGTTCTGGTATACACATTGAAGTTATGATGGTTGAAAAGCTAGGTACTTTATATGTGGCATAACAAGAGTCAGGTTTTCATATAGCTCAATCCATACGTTACATAACCGTCTCTGATAGGGTCAAACATAATAGAAACTTCATTTCAAAGAAAAATTAGGTCATCGAACACAAATTACTAAAATTTAATAAAATCACTTCTATCTAACGCCTTTAAAATCTACTCGAAAAGTATATCTGTTCCCACAAACTTGTAATTTTAAATGTAAAATAATGCTCACTCATTCAATCCTAAATAGCAGCTCTACCATGAACATAATCTTAAAATGCATGCATTTTCCCAGCACAATCATAAGCTCCATCATTTCGCCCTTTTACGATCGTGGCTCATGATAATTTCCAGAGATTAGTTTTAATTAAAATTAAGAAAAAAACTTTTTTTCTATTCCCTCAATATTATACACACATAGCAGCATATTACAGCATTAAATGCTTCTCAAAAATACTTTTTCGATGTTAATGGGATTTATTTAACAATGAAAATGTTTTGTACTTGCAACTTGTATGTAATTTCAATTTTAAAATACATGATGAGGAAAAAAATGGGGTATAAAACTTTTCTTAAGTGCTCTGCAAAGATTTTTCCTTGAGAATTTGAAAATAAATTTATTTTTATATGGAATGGGGAAAGGAAAAAGTAATTAAATGCTCTCAGTTTTTGAGATGTATTTTAATTTATGTTCTTATGTATTACTCGTGTTTTATGTTTTTGTAGCATTAAAATTAAAGGAGTGAGGTATTATCAGATTTTCTTCAAGATGTTGTTCAATATTGATGTCGAATTTTAAGATTCTGATACTTTCTTGTATATAATGAAATAGAATGCGCATTAAGCGAATGTGCGCCCT